TTGCGATTAATTTAAATAATTCCGACTAAGTTTGCTAGTAGCTTTGTTTGCCCGGATTTACCTAGAATTTAAAATATAACCGGGGGGAATTCCCCAAAATTGTTTAACACATTTTCAAGTCTAAATGGTAGCGTATTATTTACAATATAAGCAACCAATTTAAGAAATAATATTTGAATAAAATATGTATAAAAATATTTATCTTTGAACATTGGTAAATATTTAAAATTAAAGATATTCCCACAGCAGTAAACAACAGTAAGCATTACGAAGGCATCTCAATTCTTAAATATCATGATTCTATCGACTCTAAATTGTATATCTATTAATAAAATATTTTTAAATACTAACAAAATACTTATAAATTAATAGGAACCTTAATTATTTCCCACACATTAATAACCCGAATTGTAAACAACTCTGGACATGTGTAAGACAACCTCCTCGAAGCGCTAACAACTCGACAAAAAAGATAAAATAAAAAATCGTAAACATGTTCCCTTGTAGAAAGTGCATTCTGAGAGTGAGATCTCCGCCTTTTTGTGTTAATTTTTGTTTTTGGGGAATAATTTCATCAGTAACAACCCACGAAGAAGAGAGTGTTGTGTTCGTGTTGAGTTGATTTTGCCCAGAGCCCGAAGGCATGCAGGTCAATGTATTTATCGAGAGCTGGAAATGCGCATTTTGATTTGCATAATCTCACATTAGCTGGCATTATGTTTTCCTCATTTCGATGCCCCGATGATGATGATTATGATGATAGGCAGCCCTCAGCTTTCCAATCAATCAGCGCCTGGCGCGACATCTTACATTTTTCAGATGTGCAGCCAGTGTCGTTTGCTATGCTGCTGTGCTGCCCCTGCTTCGTTGGCTTTCATGGCTAATGGACGCCCCTCACATGACCTTGCACGGGGGGCCTTAATTTGTCACCTCTCCAAAAAGTTGACCAAAACAAAAAAGCCATCTTAAATTACATTTAAACGACCATTTCAGCAGCCACTCGCCGCTTAATTGCAGGCGAAATGGATGTGACTCCATGGCTGTGGCCACTGGCCGGAGATGTTTCTCCGCTCGAAAAAAATGGCATCACAAGAGACGGCATCACGTGCTTAATGCTAATCTCAACTCCGCATAATATACACATAGATAATATAGTAACAGGAACCAAGCCCCAAAGCTCTAACTAAAGAAAACGTCCAACCAAAAGTTGTTTGCTTGCTTTTCGGTTTGGGTTTCGGAGTCTCATGTGACCTGACCGTCGCGTCGAGTGGCGACGTTTTATTTTTTTTTTCTTGTCCGTTTTGGTTAACAATAATTAATAAATGCAATGGAGAAGCTTACTCACACATTGTATATTACTTTCGATTTTTTTTTTTGGTCAAAAACACTCGCTAATTGTCAAAGCGGATGTCGATCTTTATACCATGTCGGAACTGACCTTGTTACTACGGATTTTGGTATTTAGTCAAGAAATTTAACCCTTCATTTCATTCTGAAATTATAATATTCTCAAAGGAGAACTAAACTTTAAACATTTATTCATAATTTTATATGATTATTTTAGGGAAAAATAAAAGCTTAAAAATATAACACCTAAGCCAAAAATGTATAAATTTAAGTTCGGGAAGCTGTTCTGGTTTAGTTTTTTTAAGCTTAATAAATATGCATAGGGAATTTTAAATTTTAGGAAATCAAAATTTTTGTCGATTTTTGAGAGTTTTAATATCAAAATTTGAAAAATTGCAAAAAAAATGTTTATCTTTCGGACATGACTAAATCGATTTAGCTGTTTTTGCTGATCAAGAATATATATGATTTATAGTGTCACTGCGTTACTAGCTTCTGACTGGAACTATAATACCCTGCAAGGGTGTACAAAATTTGAAATCTACCAAAAACTCTTTAAATATTTATTTAATTTCATTGTTTGATTTTATTTAATTAGTTTCATAAAAACGTATTTTTTCATTTACCAAGAACTTTATTTTTTAAAATTTTTTTTTTCTATTATTGGCTTTTATTTAATGGGGATTTATGGAAGGATGACCTTGAATATTTATATTGTTATTTAGTGCATATAAAAACTTTATTCAAATTAAAAAACCAATAAAATTAGTACCCCAAATAAAGGGTTAAGGGAATATTCTAGGCCGGTTCTCTCTGTTCAGTAGTGCCAGGCGCTAAAATTACGAACTTGAGACTGGGATTTTTCGGTTTCGGTTTCTTTATTCTTTTTTGTTTTTAGGTTTCGGTATCAGAAGAGCCTCTCAGCTGGCCGTTGGCCAAACTTTTGTAGCCTCGAGAATATCGTGTGCCTGGCACTAAATCGATATTTACGGCTCTTCAAATGGCGTCAAGATCTGCCAAGTCTCGAGGTCCGGTTTAACGCATTACGTAAAAGAGACGAACGCACACACCGAAAAATAAATAAATATCGCCTTAATGATATTGAAAACAATATAGCCAAAGATTCCGTTAGTCAAAAATAATACAAAATAAAATAAATACGAAAAAGCTGCCTCCAAAAAGTGGCTCAAGTGTTGGACGTGTGCTGTTCACGTTATGTCAAAGCAAATTTCAATGACAGAGAGATGGGGCGAAAGGGTCGACATCGGCATCGGCCTTTCCGTAATTTATGTATCGTTAAATATAAAATTTTACAATTTATAATCGGCGAACCGAGACAAACGGCAACCAGCGGTGGCAGCAATTGAAGATGCTCTCACATTATGGGAGACCGGTTCCTCTTTTCAAGAAAAAAATTGTTTAAAAATGTATATGTGTACATTTGCACTTGAACCCTACCGCAAGCCTAGACAGAGAAAGTATTTAGCTCTTACATTAAAGCTTAAAACGTGAAGTGAGAAGTTTTAAGTTATTAGAACAATTTAAAAGTAGCCCAAGTAATATTAAGCCTTATTTCTGTTGTTTTATATAATAACCCTTCACAGAAAATATAGGTGGTGCCTAGATATACAACTTTCTTTCTATAACTTGAGAATGAATGTTTACGTTTAAAAAAATATTTTTAAATTTCCTCTACCATCCCATAAATATATTTTTGATCAACCCAATCTGATCTGCAATTTCTGTTTGCTATTCAAGTCCTTCTCCCAAGGGTCTTGTCTATTATTTATAATATTTTGATGTCTTTGTTCTTCGCTTTTTAAAACGGCAGCATCACTTCAATGTTGTTTTCTTTCAACTAAAATCAAACGAGAAACGTGCTTTGTGTGGGAGTCTGATGAGAAGCCAGAATGGTTAACACTTCGTGATTTTTTCGATTGAGGCGGCAAGCAAACAAAACACTTTAAGCCATAAGGAATTTATTGGCATTTTTCCCATTGTTTTGCGGATGTTTCCAGCTATTTCCCTATTTCAGCTTAATTAATTGACACATAAATTATGCATTGAGGATGCAGATATAATGTTGTATTAGGTAACTGAACTCTAATGCAGAAAACTATTTAACTGTGAATAAAACTGAAGACTTCCGAAATCTGATACCGTAATTTCAAAGTTGGTTACTTAATTTTGGGTTTAAAAGTCAATGAGTCAATCAATCAAATTAGATTAGCCATGTAACCCCAGTGTTGGAAAAAAATAATAGTTTGAAAATAAATGTAAATAAAAATATCAAAGAAAACTTGTGCAGTTTTACAGGAATATATGAGTAACTCCGTAAAGTCTGCTGCAATATTGTAGCCTTCAGCTCTTTCCACACACATTCGAAAGTAGGCAACACTGTTTATACAACACTCGCAACACAGCCGACACTTGTTGCATATTTTTCCACCGAGTAACTATTCGAAAACTCAGAATAAAATAAAGTATATGTGTATATATATGTATTATACCCTTGCAGGATAGTATAATTTCTGTCAGAATCAGTTGAGCAATCATCAAAGAGTACTTGAAATTTGCAATCCACAAATGTGGATCATATTCCAGGATCTCTTTACCGAAAGAGAGCAGAGTCCATGGTTTGTTTGCAAGAGCAAGAATCAGAAACACAAAAACGAACCAGAAAGAAATGGAGTGTAAGATGAGAGCAAAGCAAAGGACAATATGCAGAGACAACAAATCCAGAACAAGAGAAAAGCAAAATACAAACAAAACTAAATAAAACTAACCAAACTTAAAGAGAGCAATATTTATATTTACTCACCAATTGTTTGTAGCGTCCAAACGTCACATTTTTCCTTACTCTTTTTCTCTTCTTCGCTTTTGCCGATCAAAATAAGGAAAAGAGCACGAAAGCAAAGCGGAAACTAACGGGATTTGCCCAGTTCAGTGGAACTGCCACGCGCTCTGTCTCACTCGCACTCGCACTTGCAATTGGACTTAACTAAAAACTGAAATAAAACCTAACGCCACGCCGTCCGGGCATAGATTTTTCCGGCTTTCTCCGGGCTTTCCTTTTTCCCGTCACAGAGAATGTTTTCCCGCAATTTTCCGATCGTTTTTCCCCGTTTTAAGCCCGTTTTTCGCAGGAGCGCTCTTTTTTCCTACCGAACAGTTTTTTAGCGAAAAGTGGAATGAAGGAATGGCGGAAAGCTGGAGGCCAGTGTTGCCAGATAAAAATTTGGCTCTCCCCCTAAAAAATCCAAAAAGTATTATAACTTCGTTGATTTTTAAACGTATTTTCATCTCCTTTGAGATATAAGCATTTTTTAATATTACAGAGTCGATTCTTAATGATCCGATTGAAATCTGCAAGGGTATACAAACTTCGGCGTGCCGAAGTTAGCTTCCTTTCTTGTTAGATCCTAATTTTATTAAACTTTCGTAGCACATTAAACAATAATTAAAACCAGCCAACATTTTTAAAACTATGGCTTAACAAAAACATATTATAAATGTTAAAAATAAAACCGTTACAATAACAATTCACTTTGTGATCTAAAAATATATCACAATTAATTAGCCGTGATTAAACAGCATTAGAAATAGTACACACAGAAAAATAAAGTACAATAAATCTAAGAAAAATCTCCAAATATCAACATTCACTTATTTAAAAAAGGAAATTCTTAACAGTCCAAAAATCTTGTATATTCAATTTAAATTTAGAAACCCCTCATAGAAGTAAATTCCTTTTACTTTCAAATTAATTTCTTCACTCCTACAATCGCTTTTTGCTGTCGTTGAGCTTGTCAGCAGTTCCTCCACGAAGCCACCACTTGTGCGCCCTCCGGACCATCGTCCAGGGCAGCCAGATGGTAAGAAAGGCGCCCAGCAGCAGGCATCCGAGGATGTCGAGCAGGAGATACTGGTGCAGGGGCAGGAAGGCGCCCTGCGACTTGAGGTGCCTTGCCCCTCGGTGCCGGATTATATACTCGATCCAGAAAGTGGCTTCCTTCAGCGGATGTATGGGATTATCGCGGAAGCGCTGCGACACCTCCAAGGCACTCCGCTTGTATTGCGGATCGCTGATCAGCGCCTCGATGTTCCGCACGAGGCCGTCGGTGGTGAGTTTGGAGAAGACCAGGGACCGGGCATAGCCCTCGCGCACCGACTTAATGGAGTTCCGGTGCTGATCCCCGTACAGCGGGATGCACAGCATCGGCACCCCCCAGTAGATGCCCTCCTGGGTGCCGAAGATGCCGCCGTGGGTGATGAAGAGCTTGACGTTCGGATGCGCCAGTATATCGTTCTGGGGCATCCACTTCCGGATCATCACGTTCGAGGGCAGATCGCTGATCGAATCGTTCTCGAACTTCCAGATCACCTGCTGCTTGAGCTGGCCAAAGGCCTTGAGGATCAGCGACGTCTTCTCGGGCGGCAGGTCGGTGCTCTTCATATACGAGCCCAGGCTGAAGTAGACCACACCGTTGGTGGCCTTGTCCAGGAAGCTTTGCAAGTCGGCTGGCAGCTTCTTGGCCGGCTGGATGTGGGCCCCGCCCACGTCGATTTGTCCCGGCATACTGGGCCGTGGTAGATCCACGCTGCGATGGGCATTGATCAGCACCAGGGAGATGTTGCGCTCCAGATCATGGACATGGGGCAGGGGGCCTTCATGGAAACGTTTTAATAAGTCTTTGGGAAGTGGAAAATGCCAAGGACTCACCATTTATGGCTCCTCCGAAATACTTCTCGGCCATTTTCTGCATTTTGGGCAGATAAACCCAGCGACGCATCACCGCGTCGTACAGGGAAAGGTAGGCATTATAGGCCCGCTGGCTGAAGGTCATGCGATCCGTGTGGGACAACAGGAGGTGTGGAATCACAGACCAGGGGGTGAGCACTCCCATGGCATGATCGATGTTGTCCGCATAGCCCATGGTGCCAATCGTTACCACCGGACAGTTGAATTTTTTGCCGAACATGAGGAAGGCCTCGTGAAAGAACTGCTCCAGGATAACCAGATCGTAGTGATCGTCCTGGCTCTCGATTAGCTTCTTGACTCCGCGATCCCGTAGGGCATGCTCCGTGGTCAGCAATCCTATGGTCCACCACATTTCCAGGTTATTGAAATCGCTGACAAAATTCATGCTAAAGATGTTCTTTTTGGGAACTAAATTGGGAGGAAATGTTTAAACAATATTTTTGTGGTAATAAGTGATAGACTCACAGTGCTTGGGTATATCGAAGGAGGGACTGATGATGACCTCCGTGAGATTCTCATGCGGCTGCTTGGTGGGATGGTTGTTCACGCTGGTCACCTGGTGTCCCTGCCGGAGGAGGTCCCGCTGGAAGTGCTCTAGCCAGAGCCAGTGGCTGGGCGCTGGGAAGGGACCCATGAAGAGTATCCGGTAGGCCGAGCCCAAGCTGGTCAGACCGATCAGCAGCAGGAACATCAATTGCAGCTGCTTCATCTCCATCTGTGTGTACATTCGAAGTCAACAAATGCGACAATTAAAAGCCTCAATTAAATTGTCAGAGTCGGCGGGGAGACGGGTCAGGAGTCGGGTTATTAGCGTCAGATTGGCATTAGCCGCAGTTTATGTTCGGCGTTTGGTTTCTCCATTAGCATAAAGCCAAGTAGGATTGCAAATGATTGCTCGCCTATTAATGGCGAGACTTCTTGTTCAGAACGAAAGGAAGGCGCATAATTGATTAATCTCAACACCCTCCATAAATAAATATTTAAATTAGAGTCGCATTAATTTAAAAATCATATTCCGATCGGATTTTCTTCGCATTAATGCCCCAAGTGTTCCTTACTTCTCGCGGAACACACCTTTAAAGACTTTGATTGAAGCTGATTGAAATGCAGCCAGGTAATTTCATCATTTTGTAATTCGCAATTAATATTAAATACGTTGAACTAGACGGCATTCTTGTGTAGATCCATATTAGGTTATACCTCCCAGTTTTATTTGCTAACCTTGCCCCATAAAGCTCTAAAAGATTACATTTTTTATGCGATTCTTATGCTCTAATCAGATTTCTTATCGCTGTCTGAAATAGGTCGCGGCTTCTGAGATTATTTTATTTAATTAAATATTTAAATATAGTGTACTTAAAGCGTCTGCTTTTGCTTATTTTCCGTTGTATTTCCTTATTACTTTTGACGAACTATATAGACAGCTAACTAAAATATAAATAAAACTTGCTACTGGTTGTCATTGAGGCGTGCTGATAAATCGCATGTGGAAGTAATTTTGTCATTGCAGCTCGCATTTCGTATTGTATTCCTCTTTCCCTCACCCACTCTAGTGTAGTTTACTGTTATAATTAAATAATTTATTGTTATTACAGCTGCTTACACCGTAAATAATTTGGTTAAGCCAACTTTTGTGGGCTTAGGGGCCAAGGTTGCCGCTATTTAATCATAATTGTTTTGTAATTTGTTCAAAGCCCACCGCAGCTAATTGTAAATCTTGTGGCAATTAAAAATATTTTATTACATTGACTCTGGGAGTTGGGAAACTGGGTGGAATGTTTTAAAGATTTTAAAGATTTTTTCTTTGAACTCAAAAAAGTGTTTGAAGGCGAAAGAAGTAAAAGTCGCTTGGCGAATGTGAAAGTAAGAGATTGCGCAACTATTGCTCTTTTGTTTTATTTTTTTCTTTTCTACAAAATCAATTTAACTGAACCAGTTTATGCTACAAAAAAATACATTTACAATTGTAATGCCTAAAGCCATACAAACTTGTTACGTTTTGGTATTGTTTAAATAATTAATGAGAGTAATTACACTTGTATAAAATAATCAATTAAAGGTTTGTCATTTATTTTAGGAAGAAGATTTATTGACGAGCTTAGAAAGGGTAATGTCTAATACATGTTTATATATTGATAGAACACTAAAAACTACTCAGCTAAAATGCATATTACTGTAAAGTCTACAAAAACTAATTTGTTAATGTAATTTGCTAATCCTTGAAAATATTTATTGAATTCTTTGTCATTTAAAGTTAATTAATTTTACCATTATTTTTCCATTTTTTTTAAATGTGTATACTAAATTATAAGCTTATAATTATTATCTGTTTATAAGTATTTTTATCTTGAAATCTCATCTTTATTTGTGGAGCCTAGAGAAATTACTTTCTTTATCACTTAAATCACCTTTAAATTTTGGAGTCAACTGAGTTTTTGTCACTTTTATTATTGGAGCCTTTTGTTATTTGGCCTCTTTATTAATTCGCACTTGTGTTTATTTTTTGCTCAGTCCAGAATAATTAGCACATTGCGAATTTAAAACGGAATTTAAATGGGAATTTAAAGTCAAGTTCAGCGCGAAACGCGACCGCTGAGCACCAAAGTGCACTTATCACTGAAACTCGGAAAGTCGGAACCACGAACACCTCAACTTAATCAGCGCTGGCCGCCGTCGACGTCGCGGTCTCCGTCTGCGCCTCAGTCTCGGTCAACAAATACTCACATAAATCCCCGAGAAAAGCTTAGATGTATCTGTATCCGTTGGATGTGCGAGAGGTGAGGCAGCCCTGGCCGGCAGAGATACTCATTGTTTGCCTCTGCCTTAATCTTGTTGCTTGATTGTCTCGCTCGTGGCTGTGATAATTACAATATTGTTACAATTGATTGCAAGTGTTTCCAAATAATTGTTAGCTCTCTCTCTTGAAATCCCCGTATGATCCGCGATTCACGTGTCAGTCTGGAAAGATTAGTAATTGGAGAAGTACTCTACACAGCGACGTAGAATTGGCCAATGAACTTTTCAGATCTGAGATCATAAATCAATTAAAGGCTTGCGTTTTGACAACAAACAACTTGAATCAGCTGAAACCGATTTTTTTCTTATCAATAAACCAACGAAAATTCAATAGAAATGTGAACAAGCAGGGAAATGTTATTATAAAAAATTAATAAAGACATTTTTATTTCAGCAAGACAAAGAACATGTATTTTGACATCCATATACAATGAATTTTATATTTAAGTGTATTTAATAATTAGGCTTTAGACTGAATTTTGCTTATGTAAATGCATGGGAATCAACTTTTCACAAGAAATAGCTTCAGGATCTTGAATTTTTCTCAAAAGAAAATTACCTGTGGAATTTCCACTGCAATTGTTAGCATTTCCTTATTAGCCAGAATTAAGACAATGACCCGTTCGTATTGCATAAGTTAAGCAACAAAAACGTGTTTGTATTTTACAAAACGGCAACTTACACCGACATTTTTGGGCCTGGGAATTACTTTCAATATAAAAAGTATACAAATAAAATATACCTTGTTCATTCACCTTAAGGGGAGAGCGTTGGGTCAAGTTCACTTTCCCGACAAGGTATGCGTTATCAAATACGAATTAATGTTTGTTTACAAGCAACAAATTAAGGAAATAAAAGAATAAAGATAAAGAAAGCCAAACCAAAACCAAAACAACTCGAAAAAGTTGCCCTTAAAAAAAACAAACACAAGATGCCGAAACATTTCATTGAAAATTGGCACGCTCCATTGAAGCGAAGCACCAAAAGCGGCAACCGCACAGCCCATGGAAAATCTTGGAGAAAAAAAAAAAGAACCAGAGGCGTGGCATGGGCGTGGGCGTTCTGGCGACGATGATGGACGACCCGGCCCTGGAACGGCACTTTTGAAGCCAACAAAGACGATCGCCAGGAGGCAGTAAAAGTGTTCATTCATAAGAGATTGTGGACAAGCCACAGTGGCAACGAATTGTCTGTAAAAAAAATTCAAAAGCTAAAAAAATAAGATAAAATATAAATAAAAAGAAGTTTAGAATTGATCTCACATTAAATACAAGTTTTGTATTAAAAAATACGGCAAACATGTTCACAGATTATCTGTGTGCTACATGTTGCTGTTGCTGCTCTTGATGCTGCTAATGATGCTACTGCATTTGCCTTTACTCCTTCGATCGGTTTTGCCGAATCGGCGAACGGACTGGGTTGGACTCCTGGCCACAAGGCAGCCGAGTCTGAGCAGACTCCTTGGCGATGTTCCGACTGTTTATCGCTTTGGTTTCACGTCGCTCTCTCCTGTAGGAGCTACAGCCCGAAGGATTTCCTACTGACTGAACTTGGTAAAATGGTTCACCATCATTGCCTACAATAATTTCGGCATATTTACGACTGCAAAAGAATAAGGAAAATATTTTAATAATCACAAATCAAGGACTCACATATCATGCTTCAGCCGAATAATTTCCTTCTCCAAGGCCACATTCCGCTGCTTCAAGTCGGCCCGCATGGCATATAGACGTTTAACTTGTTCCTGAAGCAGCAGGAACCTGTGCTCCTGGCTCCAGCCCATTCGGTGTTTCTCCTTCAAGGTTCTGCAGACAACCGTCAGGTCTTTGTCTCTTTCAATCAGCTCTTGGGTCACCTGCAACCAGGAAAAGGATAAGAACAAGGGGAATCAATACCCTAAAGTTCGGAGGACCTGGCTAAAGAGCAACTCCTTATTCGCTAGTTCTTCCCTCAAGTCCTGCTCTGTTTGTTCTGTGTCCTTCAGTTTTTCCGCTTGAAATTCCAGTAAATCTTGGTTGCTCTGGAGCTGCTCCTCTAACCTGGCCACCTGCTGGCGCAGCTGTTCTTCTGCTTGGCTTTGCTCCTCTGCCTCGACCACCTTCAGCTGAATTTTCCTGGGAAATGAAACGAATAAGCAGGGAATGGAGTAAAACCTGGTTGATCACTCACTTAATCCCACACTGAGCCGCTTCATCCTGGTCCCCAACTTCTCCGATTATATCCTTGCCGTTGTGCTTAAGCTCCTCCTGCTTCCTAGCCTTATCTTGGAGGGGCATATCTTCGGCCTTCGAAAGCTGTTCTATTTGCACTGTGGCCTCGTTTAGCTTCTCATGTAGCTTGAATATAGTTTCCTCAGCGCGGTTAAGCTCCTGCTGCAGCTCTTGGATCCTTTCGCCCTGCTTGGCCAACAACAGTTCGTGGCATTGGAGCTGTTCCTGCAGCTGAGCTACAGTTTGTAGATGGTCCAGATTCTCGGCGTTTGCTGCTGCTTGCTTATCTATAAGCTCTCTGAGTCAGGAAAAAAATAAGAAGGTTATCAGGGAAATTTTAGAACACTTCACTCACTTGAACGTGACCACAGCTCCTTCCGTCTTTACCATTGAAATGTCTTTTTCAAGCTCCAAGATCATTTCATTGCAGCTACGGTATTTTTTATAAAGTTTGGCTATAAAATTTCCAATCCCTGCTTGACTTACCCGGCTTCTTTGGCTCTCTGGGAGGCACGGATCTCGGACAGCTTAAGGGCCTGCTCGGTGGGCAGCAGCTCGCTCTGCACCAGCTTGCTCGGCAGTTCGCCAATCGTCAGGTCCCGGTCAGCTGCTGGATTTAGTTTGCAGACCTGAAGGAGCTCGGTGGAGCTCGGCACCGTTGAGCATGACCTGGCTACAACCAGCCTCCCTGTTGCAGGATCTGACTGTGAGCAATAACCACTTCTGGTTTGTCTAGAGCTGGATGCTTTCCCAACCGAGGGGCAGAGACTCGTGCGAGGACGAGGCTGAGGAATATAATTTGAGACTTGGATGCAGTTTTCCCTCTCCTTGATTCCTACTCACCCCAAGGATATGCTCCAGGGCATGAGGCACAGGTCCTCGGGCGGACCTTAGTATTGAAGTTCTAGTTTCTAGGAAAGTGAATCAAGCCTTTAGTTAAACAATTAAAAGATTTTAAAGCCTTCAACCTACCACGAACCACATACATTGTTACATTTGGAATACAAAATTATAGACGCGAATTTGAAAAATGAAAAGATACGAATTTGGACTCAACAAGTTTTATGTTAAAGTGTTTATGCCACAGTGTTAGGAGCTACTACAAACATTATTTCAAATTGACATTCAAAACCGTAGGCCGCTCGGATCGGAATATATGTTAATTGTTATTTAAAAACAATAAATAAAATATAAATAATAAGAGAGGCTTTAAATAAAATAACCCTTAGCTAGACCAAATCTATGATTCACACAGAACCATTTACGAGGTGCAAACGAAAAATTGCCTTAAACACCAAAGCCCATATAAGCTATATGGCTTCTGGATCAATGAAACTGTAAGCCAAGCCCCAAAAAAATACTGACAAAAATGGTAGTAAAACACAAGAGAACCGTGTATTTGTCTGTTTGCGCCAATTTAATGTTTACTTTGCACTTCAAACCTACCACCCAAATTAGGGTAAATCAAACAGATAGAGATACGCAGAGCAGCGAGACCTTTTGTATCTCATGGATCTAATGGAATAGATTCTCTGTCCGTCAATCAATTAAGTGAACGTGCGCTTTTCCCAGGCGCGTTTTAGATAAAGATGCCATTGAACAAAAAGTAAATAAAATAAAGGGAGCCAAACCCCATGATCAGGGGCGGCCTTAGCGGGATACAAATCTGCTAGAAGGTTAGTAGAACATTACAATAAGTATTTATACAATAAATATGATATGATATATAATTAAAACAATTTCAGATTTTCAAATATTATTTTAAATATTTTATTATAGAAAGAAAGAACTCCTTCACTGAGTTTCTGTTTCTAAATAAAATACAGTAAGTAAAAACCCCCTTTAAAAATTCTTTACCCTTCCGTCCCTGGAAAACGATGACACTGACAATTTCCCAGGAACGATTGGCCTTTCAATGCGATCGTGTTGCGTTGCGTGGAGCAATTAAAAATATTTTCACCCAAATAGCAAACGATGCGCATGATTAGTCAACGAATTTGAGATCCGAACCCGCATCGGGAAATATCAGCGGGTGGCCGACTCTCCGTCTGAGCAGGGAATCTCATGTTTTGGCAGCTGTCAATGTGTCAATATTAATTTAATATGTCGAAAGCAGAATTCAGCACAATTTAAAATTGAGCTATAAAATGTGACACAAGAGGACTAGGGGTTGTAAACCTCACAGAACTCAAGTGGGGTTGACCGTTCGCCAAGAAGCACTCTCTCCAGTACTTCTGAAACCATTTGTTAATGGGCAAATTACATGGTCTTTGCCCTTACAAATTCCAAGTTCATTAACTTAACCTTAACACAAACTACCGACAAGACACGCCCTCCAAGTGATTCACAGCCCTAAGAAACCCCCCCAATATTTACCAGGAATTTGTGGAATCTTTTTTCCTGATAGGCAAACACAGCCATAAAAACTGTTGAAGCGTAAAAGGATGTTCGAGTAATTGTCGGTGGTACTTGGCGTTTCCTTTGCAGATAGCGAGCTATCTGGGTATTACGAAGGCATTTCGATCTTCCATGCTTGATTTGTTCGGGGGGAATTACATTTCTTAGGTGTTTAAGGGGTTCCTGGTATGTAAAATAAGAGGACTTCGTTTTAGTTAAAGGTAATTATTTATTGGGACTTGTGGTCATATCACATGGGTTATTCAGGTCTAAAAAGTCAACCCCCAGAGGGTTGTTTTTTATCTCAGTAAGTAAAGATACCAACAGCAAACACTAAAGATAGTCACTTGAAACAACACGTGTGCCTGCTCTGGCTCTCTAGTTTCGAAACATATTTTGTACATTCTGGTTTTGGGGCTTTATCGCCGATTTGCTTTCAAATGTTTTTTTGGATTTCAGGCATTTCTAGTTCAGTTTTTTCGGTGGTGGTGCCTTCTCATCAGCTCCCTGGTGCAATTAGTAAAAGTGCAGTTTTATGTGTTTATTTTTACATATGCCACAGCTGTGCGGCCTAACCTAGATCCACTCGGCACTCCTCCGAAAACACTTTTCCGGAACACAAATTGTGCGTGATATGGAGTCGTTGCTGTCGCCGTTATCGTAAACAGGAACAGAAACCGAAGCAGCCCCTAAGGGTTCCTTTTTCGCCCCGATGCAGTTGTTCTTCAGCCTTGAAAAGGGGCGTGTAATCGAAGGCACAGACACAAAGGATAGATAGGATAAAAGATAGAATAGAATTTTTATTATACATTTTAATGGTAAAATAATTATTAATCTTGAAGAATATATTGTGAGTACAAAATTAAATAAAATTATACTTTAACTATCAATATTCAATATTTTATTTTAAATAAATAAATTAAGCCTTCTATATATATTTCTCTCTCTGTGTCTCTAATCACCCGCCCATCTGACTTTTTCTAGGTATTTTCTGTGTGATTTTTGTGCATTTAATTTATTAATGACCTAACCGCGGCGAATTCCTCATTTCGTAGCGTCTGATTTATGTGGCATCTGCTGTCAGTGATGGCTTTCACGGCGGTCGAACCGAGTGGCTTGGGTGCGGGTCCTGCCGCAGTGTGAAGGGGTTTATTAGCACGCCAAAAAGGATATTTACACAACAACAGGACAGGAGTGAGCAGGAACCGTGGGACTTATGTAACTTAATAGGCTGATGAAAAATGGCTGTGAGATTTTTATCACACGACAAGGCAAAGACATCCAGAAGGAAGGCAGACAACATGTGGCAGAGTCGGAATCGCAGTCCGAGTCCAAGTCAGAGGCAAAAGGCGATGCCCCGGCCAAATTGCAGCCACATGTGTGGGTGCACTCGGAAAAATAAATGGTAAATTTGTTACAAAAACTAAGAGTAACTAAGAAAGTAACTATGTACATAAAAATACCTCATTAGCTCATTGATACTTTTGAAAATACCATATACTTTATACCTCCCAATGCTAACAAAACTAAGTAATTTTGTTCAGTGTCCTCAATGAAGATGAAGATCATCAGAGACAGAGAGAGAGTAGTAGCTGGCACCGCTAAACAAATTGAAAAATGCTCAAGTCCTCAGCCCCTCTTGGCGCTCGCAATTGCTCAATCCCCGTCGTATTTTCGCGTGCTGCTCGCTGCGCAGGAAAATTAAAAGGAAAATGCCCGCCACTCACACCGAGAAGAGCGGAGCACCCCGAGCACACACCGAGAAAATGAACAGCCCAACGACACCGAGTGTGTCGTCGCTGAGTCTCAGTGATGAGCAAACCAATCGAATTTTGTTGAAGGGTAAATGGTCTTCGAAGAATAACTTATAGTATAGAATTAATGAAGCCAAAAGAAGGCAGGGAAATTAAAAATCAGCTATGATTCATTTGCAATTAAGAGAATATATGAATCAGAAGTAAGAGTGGGTATGTTCAATAAAAATAAGAGAAGATCCTTCATAGTCGTTAAGAATTAACAAAAACTTAACTAGTTCTCTGTTTATAAGTCTAGATTCCCCTTATAATTAATCAAGGACGCTAAATATTAGATTTTAATATTTATAAATATAAAGAACCAAAACTTAATCATGTAATAATTACCTTTAATTAAAAAATATCTCCATATAAAATAACTAAAACTGGTTGCAAAAATTCCAACAAATATTCTATGACTCTGCACCATCCGCGGAGGATCCCTTTGGCATCCCACGGATGCGCCAGCGGGTGGCTCATCACTGTTATCTAGATACAGATACTTATTGGGCCTGGCCCCTCCGCGTTCGCGTTTGCGTTCGAGTTCGCAGAGCAGAGCGGAGCGCACAAAAGTCACTCGCGGGTGCGCCATGGAGTGGTGGTGGGCCTGAAATCGACAGGGGCATCCGCGGCATCCGAATCGGAGTCCGAGACCAAGTCCGCGGCACATGGACTGCGATGGGACTGGGAAATGGGAGGGGAGCCAGCCAGCGAGCGCTCTGCTGCGTGCGGAATTTTCTTTCAGTCTGTGAGAAATCGTCGGCGTGTTCGGTTGTTCGCTTCGTTTGCTTATCGGAGAATAGTTTTCCTCTCGAAATTTTCGACGGGTGGAAAAGGCGGACAAACACCGCGGCCGCCCCCCTCAGAGTTTTTCCGAACTGGCGTGAGTGTGTGTTTGTGTGTGCGTGCATGGAAAATAGAGGAAAAACTTAATTTATTTTTAAGTTTTTATTTTCCCCTCCTCTGCTTTTGGTCGGCACTTTTCTCTGTCAAGAATTCCGGCTAAAAACCGATTGTGAATGAAAGCGTTTGTTGTGGTTCTGCCTTTTGGCTATCTGAAAAGATACAGAACTCTCTGCAAATTGACCGTGAACACCGCTCTTTAGCAGATGAATCTGTGAAGCTTTTTGAGGAATAAGCAGCGGGCCAAGAGCCCGGAAAAGCCAGTGATCTTTGTAAGGAAAACACAGCGGAAGTTTCTACAAAAATTAAAGGAATATAAATCATTTATTCGAAGGCATCGGAGAGTGTGAAAAATAAGCTGCTGAAATAAGTTGCTTGCGGGAAAGTGAGGGAAATTAAATTGTGAGAAATAAATGTATAAATAAATGCCGGGAAACCTGTGAGAGAACGAGAAACTTGTGAAAATTAAATGGTGATAGAAAATGAATAATATAAATAAATGCTAAATTAATGGCACTAAATCAGATGTATGATGTGTTTTGCAGCAATAAAACTACAAGAATACAAACAAAACTAGAGAAAAATTAAATCAGAATAAATAAATAATTGTAAATATATGCTTTAAATTAAATATAACCAAATTTAAAATCAAAAACGACTCCAATATATTATCAAATTAAATCATGTTAAAATCATGAGAAATACCCTTGTTTTCCCTCAAAATAAATAAATCAAACATCTAAGAAGCTTTTTAAATACATATAACAAATTATGGTATAAAAAACACTCAAATAAATAAATGACTTGGAAACTGTACCCCCAATGCTCCAATAAACTTCATATTTGTGACATATGGCGCAGAAATCGCACAACTCCATTCATCAAACTCGCCCCGGTCGACGTTCATAAATCACAGTGCCCAAAAAAAGAGTGTGACTAAACCATCGAGGGAAAAAATACAAAGTAGAAACACAACTCCGCACACCTTGGAGTTAGGAAAGCGTTCAAATCGGCGTGGGCAGTGACGCCTACCAATTTTCCATATGAAAATCAGCCTTTTCATGCCTTATCAAATCAATTTTCGATTTCAAGTGGCCAGCCCCCGAAGAAATCGGCGGTATTTTGTAGGCCTTTTGTTTTCGAACTTTTTTTAATTACCATAAAAATATATACAAAGTGGTGCAGAGAAAGAAAAATTAAAGAAAAATTATAAAAAAATGTATTTTTGCTAGAAAACTAGAGCCAGAAATTTTTAGAAATTTTATAAAGAAGCTCTACTATATTTTTAATATTTATTTCATTATATTTGTGACTATCAAAACGATGCAACGTATAATTGTTTCCGTGTATCTTGGCCAGAACTTTCCCAAAAAGAACTTCATTTAGTGGCAGCTGGCAAAGACTGGCTGTTATCCGGTAGATACATTTATTAATTTTTATGTAAATGTGTAGGAAAAATAGGGAGAAGGCAACACGCGTCTCTCATAAAATGCGCCCAGGCGATTGTCACTTTATATTTTTTTTTCGCCTTTGGTGTCATCTGCGGCCAGGCAGCGTTTCGAATTGTATTTTGACTGCTGCTGCGACGGGGCTATAAAAATATTCGAAACGACAAGATCTTTGGGCGGTGCATATAAAAATTAACAAGCTGAATTAGCGAGCAGGGCGAACTTAACAAGAACCAGAGGGGAAGCCCCTTCTGTGCAATTGACCTCGCGGTGTCGAACCTGCTGCTGCTGCTGGTGCTGCTGCATTTATCGTTTTCCCTTAAAAATAAAAATGCATAAACATAATGTCCCGACTGCACTGCGTGTATTTTTAGACAGCGCGCAGCGTAAATAATTCATTTTCCAGTCACAGTTGTGTTGACGTTTCCCCTCGAGGGGGTTGTGGGTTTCTCCCAGGGGAAGTCCCTCTGCCTTCTAAACTTGAAAGCGGCCTATTTTTGGCATCTGAACTTTGACCTGGGGGCATTGCAAAATCCCGAACTAGAAATTCCACTTCGAGAAAAGCAGCTTAAGCCACTTAAGGCCACTTTTTATGACCGATCCCCGCATCAGCCGAAAATACAATAAATTCTACTCAACTCCAAAGCGGACACTCAAGTGGTCTCCTCGGCGTGGTATCTCTGGGGCAGCAACTCAATTAAGTCCCCATAAAGTATCTGCAGATACGCTAATCAATGATATATATATATTTATATAAAACCCAAATAGTACTTGAATCTTCGCTCAATTTATTAGAGATTTGTTTGCCTTTAGGATTTTGGGCAATTAAAATGGCCAGTAAATGACTCAAGTGGAAGATGTGTACATAATTCGGGAATATAAAATTAAATTGATCATAAAATCTATGAAAATAAACTCGGTTGAACGCGAGAAAAGCAAACCATGCAAATTGGGGGAAAAGAAAAATCTAAATAAAATATTATATGATGAAATTTAGCTTAAATAACTATAATACATTTTTTAAAAATAATATTAAATTCTGTACTTCATAATCCAAGAAAAATAACACATATAGTTGTCCATTTCAAGGTCCTAATGAAGTTGCTGATTAATGAAAGCTGCTTTAGAGTATCATAATTACAATAAAAACCCAATAAACTCTTCAGAAAACAGTTTATAGTAATTAAAAGTGATTCTTCCCCTAGTGACCAATTAAAAATTCATAAAACGTGCACCATAAAAAAACCCGAAACAATATTTAAATAAAATGGAAAGCAAATATGTAATGGCCATAAATCTATTTCCAATTACAGTGAAGTGCGTTAGCGGTTGCCAAGAAAAATAACAAACAGACGATCGTCGGTGCCAATGTGTTTATGATGAACGCCAGCGAAATCAACGAAATTGAAACGTAATCGGGCGAAAGTCGGCTGGCCAAGTGCGTGAATGCACAAATAGGAAAATAGAAAAATAGGAAATCAAGAGGCGGCTTCAAAGGAAAAAGGAAGCCAGTTCTCCAGGCCCCCAACTCGCGAGTGTCTGTCAGTCGTTTTGGATATTCGAGGGGAACGGAACGGAAGGCCCGAGCGTTCTGTCAGCGGAGTGACATGCAGCATCTGTCTATGATGCGGCCATTGGGCCAGGACGTGATGCTGTGTCGCAGCTAGAGGGAAACACCCGATGCCCCCGATGATGCTATTTTTATGAGGCCCCAGACTACGGCCGACGACGAAGACGACGACGACGGATGCGTGGCCCCATGAAAAATCAATTAACACGCAAAATTATTAAAGACGAAGAACTCACACACACTGAAAGTCGAATAAGTAAACGAAAACCGAACGAAACTTGGAACTGGGATCTCGAATCTTGCAGTTCCCGCTCCCGGATCCATAGAATATAACTTCAAAAAGCAGCTGCTCTGGGATGTCGCGCCTCCTTGGATTGGCATTAGGCTGCCTTCTGGGCCTGCTGGCCATGCTGCTGCAATTGCCATCCGTGGCAGCCATGAAAGGTAAGTTCAGCCAAATGTAAAATTTATATAAATGAGGAAAGGGAAGCCGAAATTGGTATACCCTTGCAGTTTGCAATAGGATCATGGTATCGAATCAAAAATCTGTCATAACTAAGTCTAAAAATCAGAAAATTCAATTCGGAAAACTTTTCTGTGCTAGTTTTTTCTCGGCTAGCCACTCTGCATATTTATTTTAATTTTGTAAGAAAACTAATTTTTGTTTTAATTTTTGAGTATTTTAACGATGAAATTTTGAAAAAATCTTAAAAAAATGTTTTTCTTCCGGAAATTGCTAGAATGACTCGCCTATTAATGCTGATCAGGAATATATATGGTTTATAGGGTCGGAAATGACTGCTTTCCTAAATAAAATCAAAATACCCTTAATGAAGACCAAAAATATTTTAATTTTTGTAAATGGATATTTTCCATACTTTTTGCAAGCTTCTGCCTGAAATTATAATACCCTAAAAGGGTACAAAAAGGAGTTTAAGAAGCTGCTACTCTGTGTACAGTTAATTAAATGTTACGACAGTCAGGTAGCGCGAACCAGAACTTAATACCGCGGCATAAACACCAGATTTATCATGGCAAATGATCAACGCACGATTTATGCTCATTACAAATATGGCCAGCCACGGAATTGGCCGACAAAAAGCGGTCCAGACGGGCAGAAGCTGTGGCAGCTGCTGAAGCTGCAGCCAAATTGCATTTACTTTGCCTGCCATCGAAGCGGACATAAATAAAAGTCAAAATAAAGAGTTGCAAATGGTGCAATGCCACATACATTTTGGTGTTACTCGCGTGCGCCAAAAAGAGCCGAGGTACGGTGGGTTAGGATCTGGCTGGAGTGGTAATAAAATAAAATATAGAATATACACAATTAGGTTATAAATTAATAAAATACAAAAGGTTTACAGGGAGACTGGAGTTGAAAGGCATTTTCTTATAAAGAAACAAAATGTTACGTCTAAATAATAAAATAGGCGGAAATAGAAGCACTAAAATATTTTTAAAAATTAATGTTTCAAATAGTAAGTAAAAATATTTTTTTATAAAATATCAAAGAGGTTTTAAGCTTATATAAATTCCTACGAATTTCAAGTAGTTTCCACCCTCTCCAAAAATTCTGTAGTTTAAACTTTGAACTGTACTAGATTTATGTTGAACCATTTATATGACTTCCTTCCTGTACGCTTGCTATTAATGTACCTGGGATATACGTATGTATACCCATAATCTCCACCTATATATATATATATACCCATATATTCCCCTTGTGATTTCGCAATGCTCCATGGTAACCCCCGAAGCCCTCGGCCCATAAAATCCAACTACTTAACTGCAATGCGCCGCCGCGGTGCACTTAACGCATTTTTCACGCTTGACATTTGACTTGGGGCGCACTTTTCTCGATGTCGTCGTTGTCTGCTCCCCGGTTATTGTTGTTCTGTTGTATCCAAGGGACTCCAAGAGTATCTCCAAGCGAAAAGCACGAGTATCTGTGCGGTGCACCGCAAGTGCTCTTAATTTCGTTGTATCTTCCGTAGGAGACACTCACACAATAAGATGTACATATGTACTCAGGCGGTCGTTTATTTTTAGTCTTTCAGTGCAAATGTATTTTTAATGATATTTTTAGTTGGCATGTGACGTCACTTGGGGGACTAGGCAGCCAAAAAACATGAATCATCCGTTTTTCTCACTATTCTTTATAAGACTTGGGGTATAAATGCACGGAAAATAATGTGAATTTATATCAAGATACAGTCAGAGAAGTAATTTAATGTTACTATAAATATTTAAACTTTTTAAATTGGATTTTGTTATTTAAATATAGAGGTTCGAATATCAAAGCATTTTATAATTTATAGAAACTTATAGAAAATAATTTATTCTTTAGAATATAAAATACTTTTTAGTGTATCTTAGGTATATTCTTGTTTTATGGCTACGCGAAATGTAAATCATTTACACGCGCAACGAGAGCGATGTGCCAAATTTAACAGAGACGTGTGTGGATACGAATGTATCTGTAGCCATGTATCCGTATCTGTATCTGGTGCGCGCCATCTGCCGAGCTTTTTGATTATTCATTTGCATTTCCAATATAAATATCAACACATGCTCGATGCTAACTGCAGCAGGCGCAGTAAAAACCAATTTATTTTGGCGACATTTTCCCCCTGAGTCATGTCTCTTTATGAGTCGAATGTCGCTGGATAGTTAGATCCCACTGATCGGGATAAATATAATTGAATTTAATGCGGCCCCGGAGCCTAATTAGGGTTGAATTCGCTGCCGATGGCGGCGACAACACATGGAGGCCATAGAACCGATGGAAGCCGCATGGAAATTCGGTTTTTATTTGATTTAGATTGATCTCTTAAGCTGGAGAATGCGGCAACGACGCGAAAGGGGTGAAGGAAACTATTTTAATGGGCGTACTTGGAGGAGACCGCAGGAATTACTGCAAAGATTACGAGCTGAGAACAACATTAAGGAAATATTTTTGGGGGTTATCCCTGTCACTTGTAATGGCTTCAGTCTGCTGGAAATGGTTTTGGGAATAGCCAGAAAGTACTTGGGATTTTTCTTAACTCGCTCTTATTGCGAACGAGTTTTTGATAAATAATCCCAATGCAACCTCAATATGAAAGAGTTTCTTCGAACCGTTTTAAGACCCCGATCACCTCGATTTCCTAGCCAATAAAGCTGGAATCCCAATCAATTTGCTTGGCACACGCAGAGCTCCATAAATATGGAAGAAATCCACTCAAGATCACGTAATAAGCCCACAAATCAGCGGCACCACTAATAAACTTTGACATTATTAGTAAAATAAAACTACGAATGGGTAAAAATAATTTATAAATTGCCAATGTCGCAGACGGTGAAGTGGCGACGGCGGGCCACCAAAGAAGCATTAATTAAAGACAGAAAAAAGATGAAAACACGACCATAAAACCGAATAACTTTGCAGCCATAAAGAGTCAACGCTGCATATAACTCAAATAAAATAAACATTGGCCATAACATAAATATTCGCCGGCTACCTAGACAAGTCACCAGAAAGAAGGAAAAAATAAAATAAGAGATAAACATAAATTTAGCATTTGATAGGGGGGACGGGGAGGAGTTTCTGGGGAGCAGTGGGTGGCGGCTGCTGCATCTGTGGCCATAAGTCTTGCGACGTGTGCCCGTTGGCCCGCCTCTGATGTTTTTTCCCCATTTTTGGACAGACTCCTCTCCCCCCACGAGGGAGCTGATGATGATGTCTCATTTGTTCGCTGCCCGACATTTGGAATGACTTGTGACTCTGATGCGGCTTGTTGACGCTGGACCACATTTTGTTGATGCAAATTGCATTTATTGTTGGGCCCCCAACTTCCTGGAGCAGAAAATGTCTTTCTTCGCTGAAGATTGGCAGGCCAAAAGGCATTTCTTGACAAGCTTTTGTTTATTCGTTAAGGGTTTAGGCTATTAAGCCAGTTGGCTTTCATTTAATGATAATTGCTGTGGTATTTATTCTAACAAAAAAACCAGTAAGGAAACTAACTTCAGGAGGCCGAAATTTGTATACCCTTGCAGTTTGCCATAGGATCTATAATCCAATCGAAAATTCATCATAACTAAGCCGAAAAAGCATCAAATTCAATTCGGAAAACTTTTCTGTGCTATTTTTTTCTAGGGTAACGAAACTGCATACAACATTTTTAATTTTAAAAAATAAAAATTTTAGGCAATTTTTGAAAATTTTAATGCATTTTTTTTTTTGCAAAAATGGCTAAAAAATAAATTTCTTCCGAACAAAGCTAGAAAGAAGCGCCTGTTAATGCTGATCAAGAATATATATGATTTATAGGGTCGGAAACGACTCCTTCACCGACTAAAATCATAAAAACCCTTCAAGAAGATCTGAAATATTCACTGTCTTTAAATGAATATTTTTATATATTTAAAGTGGTATTTTTTTTATAAAAAATAATCATAACTAAGCCAAAAAAGCATCAAATTCAATTCGGAAAGTTTTTCTGTGCTAGTTTTTTCCAGATAAACAAATCTGCTTAAATTTCACATTTTAAGATATTAAAATTTTTGCTAATTTTTCCTGTGACAATAGAACCATTTTAAGACCACAAAAATACAAAAAGAAATTAGGAAAAATGTTTTTCTTCTAAACATGGCTAGATCGACTCCTATTTTTGTGCTGATCAAGAATATATATGATTTATAGGGTCGGAAACGACTCCTTCGGTAATTAAAATCATAAAACCACTCAAGAAGATCTAAAATATTCACACTCTTTAAATGAATACTTTTAGATATTATAATGGTAATTTTTGTATAAAAAATAATCATAACTAAGCCAAAAAAGCATCAAATTCAATTCGGAAAGTTTTTCTGTGCTTGTTTTTTCTAGGGTAACAAAACTACATACAAATTTTCTAATTTTAAGATATTACAATTTTTGCTAATTTTTTCTGTGACAATTGAAGCATTTAAGACCTCAAAAATACAAAACAAAATTATGAAAAATCTTTTTCTTCTAAACATGGCTAGATCGACTCCGCTTTTCGCCCTGATCAAGAATATATATGATTTATAGGGTCGGAAATAACTCCTTCACTATGTAACACACTTTTGACTAAAATTATAATACCCTGCAAGGGTATAATAAAACAGGCTGCTTAAAATATATAAGAAAAATAACATTGTTTTACAGCCTCTTCAAAATCACTTAAATATTTCACAATTGTGAAAAAACATTTATTTTAAACTTGTTGCTCTTTTTAAAACATGTTTTTGTTTGCTCTTTTTCTATCTATAAATATAATTTTTATAGAATATCTCTGGAAAAAATTATATATTTATATTAATATACATTTTTGCTGCTTAATTTAACCTAAATTAATATTAAATTTTTTTTTTAAATATGCTTAGGAAATAACAAATGTTTTAAATAATAAAAAAATAAAATAAATAAATACAAAAAGAGTATCCCAAATCGTGGGTGACCATTCCCTTTGTGAAATTTCTGTATTTTGTGTTTTTGTTTAACCAACGATAACGCCTCCGCATCTTTGTGTCGCCTTTTGTTTTGGTTTCGGGGCACGCGCATCGGAAGAAGTAGCAATTTCCAAGAGCATTTATTTACAGCAGCCGGGCACCACTACTCCCACTAATGTGGGTCAAATGCAGGCCGATGGGAAAGTGTTTTGGTGCTTCTCTTGGGTTTTTCTTTCGGCCCTTTCCGCCGTCTTTTGACGCCTGATTGCTGCTAATTGGCGGCAAAATGGTCCAACGGCCAACGCATCAATGGCTATCCGCTTTGTTTGCCTGTTTATCCATCTGTCTGCTGTTTGTCTGCCATTCGCATGCAACTGTTTTTCCACACATCTATTTTTCCACATTTTTCCATACATTTTCCCATGTGGGTTAGGTCAATATGCGTGTGTCCTACCAGCAGCGAAAATAAACAAATATCAAAAAAGCATTTCTCCCTTTTCAAAAACAAAAAGAAAGAGAATTGCCTAAAATATCTTTCATGTTTTGACAAATGTACGCCTCGAAAATAATTTATTGCACAAGCATAGCCCAGAATATGAATCATTAATCATGCAATTTTTACGAGGTGGTATTCATAGCGAGAAATTTGGAAAAATATTCCAGGGAACACGTTCAGAGTCGGGCACCAAGAAAAGCACGTTCGCCGGTAATTAAGCAAAATCAAGATACAAAAGATACAAAGATGGTTCTCAATAGATAAATGACTGACTGACTGACTGACAGGGTGACCTCGGCAGACACTGACTGACAGACAGCTGATGGCCTGATCTCTAACGATCTGGACAAATTTGTATATGGATTCCGAGTAGAGGAACGCGATTGCCAATCAAATTGGCGGCGGCTCTTGCAACATTATGAGCACTGCGGACTGGTTAGTGTATCCATCTCAGTCAGCTGCAACCAGAAAAGATTGATTTTGGGATATTCTCATTGAAAGAAATTCTTTTTGATACAGAAAAAGATATAAAGATACTTAGCATTATAGGAAAATTTATAATAAATTTATTTTGCACATTTCTAAAGCCTTAAAAGTATTTTAAACTTGTTCTATATATTTTTTTCATTACCCCAACTATCATTCTCGTTTATAACCCAATTTAAATCGCTGCATTTTCAATTTTCCAACTCCCATTTTCCCCCTTCTCAGTCTCCCTGTTCGGCGACGGCTACATATCGATGCCGCTGCAGGAGGCCAAGATGTCAACGAACATCCGCGTCAAGTTTCGCACCCGCCAGGAGAACGCGCTGCTCTTCCTGGCCGCCGGCCGAACCGATTACTGCCTGCTGCGCCTGGAGAACGGCCTGATCAGCTTTGGCTATAAAATCGAACGGGATGTGGTGCAGGTGAGTTAGGATTATTAACGGACAGTTTCCCCCTTACATATGACTGCAATTACTCGGACTCCGATTACAGTTGCGTTCACCCAAAAAGCAAAAGCTCAACGACCTGGAGTGGCACGACGTGGCGGTGCAGCGGTTCGAGAACAACATCACCTTGCAGGTGGACAGCTATATAATGCGAAAGCAGTTGCCGGGCGATCTCAGTGCCCTCAATATACACTTTGGGACATTTCTAGGTGGCGTTGGTGACTTCACGGCCGAGTTCTTGAATGATGTTATTGGATTTCGGGGCTGTATATCGGATGTGAGTATATAATGTTATTGAAAAATAGTAGAGAAAAATAATTTAGACTTAAGAATATTTATTCGTAAACAAATTTGTTTCAACAACTCGATAAATTTGCAATTCTTTAACAATAACTTATCAGCCACAGCAACTATACACCTACAAACTCAACCACAACAACATAATTTCCTCCCAGGTCTTCTACAACAACATCAACATTATAAAAAGGGCCAAGGACCGCACCAGCCACACCACCAGCACTGGAGTATCCTGGACCTGCAGCAGTGAGTTCGACGGAACGACACAGGACAGCATTAGCTTTCTGAAGAACGATTCCTATGCCTTGATGCTGAAGGAGTCGCATGCCATAGGAGAAACGTGAGTTACTCCAAGGAAATAAATCAAATAATAAATAAATAAATGGTTTATATTTATTTTCTTACAGCCTCTCCCTGCAATTCCGCACCATGGCCACGGCTGGCATAATATTCTTCAACGGCGGCTTTGATTTCATACTCCTCGAGATCGAGGAGCAGCGCCTGAAGGTGACCTTCAACAAGGCCGGCAGTCTGGTGCAATTTATGACCAACGAGTCCGTCTCGGACGGCAAGTGGCACCGGGTCCTGCTGCGGTACAACGCCGCCATCGCGGAGCTAATCCTCGACGAGGCCGCCGGTGGCTATCGGGGAACGCATGCTAACGAGACCAAGGCGAGCATAAATCTCGAGAAGAGCGTCTTCTTTGGCGGCGTCCAGGAGGAGATGCGCCGGCGGCTCATCGGAAAGGGACTGCGGATCAATGAGGTCAGCTTCAAGGGCTGCATGCGGGATCTCCGGGTGAATGATCTGCCGCTGGGCTTCGCCGAGATGAGCATCTCGCGGCACCTGGCCCTGGGCTGTCTGTGGAAGTATCCCTGCGTGGAGCACAATCCCTGCCTGAAGAGCGGCGTCTGCAGCCAGCACGGCGTGGATGGCTTCATCTGCTACTGCGATCAGTCCTACTGCATCAAGGCCGATTTCCAGGGGCCCTTTAAGATCTTCACCGAAACGAGTCCGGAGCTGGAGCTCCTCTACGTCTCCCCCATGCAGCTCTTGGAGGGAGGCACCGCCTTCCTCTCGCCCCATTTCATCGACATCATCCTGGATCTCCGCCGCTATCCGAGTCTCAACGAGCAGTCCATCATCTTCCATGTGGTGCACCAGCCCAGGTACGGCCAGCTCCTGCAGTATTCCTCCGAAAAAACCAACTTCGTGCCTTGCCGCAGCTTCAATTTGGTGGACCTGGCCACCGACAAGCTGAAGTACGTGCACAATGGCCAGGAGAACTTCAACGACCATGCCACGCTGGACATGCAGGTCTTTGGGGACATACACAAGATACCGGAGAACATTCTGGGGAAGCACAGGTTCCTCCTGCACGCGAATATTACGCCCGTGAATGATCCGCCGCAGCTGAGGCTGCATCTTCACAAAATCCTGCGCGTCATTGAGGGCATCGAGAGGGTCCTCGACGTGGATCTTTTCAACATAGACGATCCGGATAGTGAGCCCGGCAATTTGATATACACCATCCTGCCTCCCCTGAATCCCCAGGAGTCCTTCGGCTGCTTCATGGTCGGCGGAGTGACTACCTCCACCTTCTCGCAGGCGGATGTCAATGTGGGCAAGGTCTCATATCTCTACAACTCCACGACAACGGAATCCTTTAGCTATCAGCTGCAGCTCCAGGTATCGGACGGCATAGAGACCAGTGACACAGTCTATCTGCCGGTGTCGGTGCATCCCCTGGAGCTGCGACTGGTGAACAACACCGGGCTGATCATGATTCACAAAAGCTCGCTGCTCCTGAGCCCCGCCAATCTCTCCATCGGTACGAATGCCCTGGATGAGCCCTCCATTGACATTAGGTACGACGTGGTGAAGGCGCCGCAGCATGGCGTGCTCCAGAGACTGCGCCAGATCGATGGCTCCTGGGTGAACGTGGACTGGTTCAGCGACAACCAGCTTCTGCTCGGCCACATCCGCTATCTGCACAGCAGCGATTTCCCTTGGCAAGACGAATTCAAGGTGTGTATCGTAAAATAGAGTAGGAAAATTGTAAAAAAAAACTAGCTAAAGGTGGAAAAATAGTCATAAAAGCAAGCTTGAGCCATAAATGGGCAGGGAGCCAATAACACTAACTTGCTAGGTTTTAGGAAAGTGTTAATCAGTCTGTGGCAGTTACTCTTTTAGAGGCTTTTGACTTTCTCCGGGAATCATTCAAAATCCCTCCTTGATTGCTTGCTTTCTTTTATGTAGAAAAATCCTTTAAAATATTGCAAATCTTTTAATAATTTTCTTCACTCATTTCCCGGCCTCTCTAGTCATTCTCCTATTACCTCCCAATTCCAAGTTCCTTGCTGACCAGTGTAGCCAACATAAAATTTGCATTGATTTCACTTTTTATTCCCCAGTTTATTGCCTCGTTTGGCTTTGTTACCACTCAAACGTTCGACTTCCGCATCACCTTCACGCGCCTGGTCATAGAGAGCCACAGGCCATCGAAGATTGCCATCAATGGGAGCCGGGAGATACCGCTGACCAGCGAGATCCTCTCGTACGAGACCACGCCCATCGGCAGCTTCCCGCGGAGCGTGATCTACAAGATAACGAAGCCCACTCGATATGGCGGCATCTACGTGGAGGGATCCCGGAAGGCGGCCAAGCAGCTGGACTCGTTCACCCAGCAGGACATAGACAAGCGGAGGATCCGCTACCAGACGCACCACACCAGCTACTCGAGGTTCACGGATCACCTGGAGTTTGTGGTCTCGGTGGCCGAATGCGACGATGTGGCGGGATCGCTGGAGATTAACTACCGACCGCCCGAGGAGCTAATCAACAAGCTGAGCTATCAGACCCACGAGGTGCTTCAGGTGCAGGAGGGCGAGCGGGCCTTGATTACAAAGAATCACTTCGAGATTCGCTTCAACATTTACGAGAGCCTGGAGTTCCAGGTGAGCACCAGTCCCGAGCACGGAGTCATCTGCAAGTACGACGAGCAGACGGGTCTCACCACGCCCGTGGAGGTATTTAGCCTGGATCAACTGTTCCGGAACGACATTTACTATTGCCACGACGACACAGAGTCCACGCGGGACACCTTCGAGCTGCTCATACTCTCCGGCGACGAGACGGACCTCCAGTTTGTCTCTAACATGGAGGTGCACATCAAGCTGGTCAACGACAACGAACCCTACCGCTCGGCCATGGAAAGGGTGTTCCATGTGGTGAGGAATGGTATCAGGACGCTCAATCCCACGGTGCTGCAGTACCTGGACGCGGATGTCAATACAAACCACACGGACATCCACTTTATCCATGTGTCCAGCACGAATGGGGCCTTCTACAAGTCGGGTCACTTCATCGATAGCTTCAGCCAGGACGATATCGCCAACCGGAGGATAATGTTCCAGCACACGGGCCCGGATGCCGGCACCGCCTCCTTCATAGTCACCGATCGGGAGCACGAAGTGAATGGCCTGCTGGAGATCCGGGCCTCGGATCCCTTTGTCTCCATGCTGGCCACCAACGCATCCATTGTTCAAGAGGGCAAGTTTGTGGTTCTCAAGAACAAAGACTTTATTTTGGAGACGAACCTGGACATTAAGCTGGATGAAATATACTACGAGGTGATCAAGCCCCCTTCCTACGGCATCCTCATGTACCTGAGCAGGGCGAACGAGGGGGAGAATGGCACCACCGTCTACAAGGCCACCAACTACACGTCGCTGAGTAACTTCACCCACCTGGACATCGAGCGCGAGCGATTGGTCTACTGGAACACGGAGATTGCCTCGATGGACAAAGTCAGGTGAGGTTTTTCGGGGTTAATTTAAATTATAAATTATACTTATTTAAATTCTCAATTTAAATTATAAATTATACTTAATTATAAAATATATTTTTTTAAATTCTTAATCAGATATCGAGTTCACATCAAGAACATAACAGCCGAGGGTGAAGTCATGTTCCGCATATATCCCTCGGCCTACTGGGAGCCCCTGCAGGTCAAGCAGAACCACACGCTCTATGTGGAGGAATCCACCAGCGTGCTCATATCCCGAGATGTCCTGGAGGTTGTCCATCCCAACATCTCCCCTGGAGACATCACTTTCTTGGTGACCTCCTCGCCCATGCACGGCTACCTGGAGATGCAGTCCATGTCCTTCGACGACGAGTACAACTGCAAGGTGTTCGACCAGTCCTCGGTCAACACCGAAAAGATGTTCTACATACAAGCTGGGGTCAATCAGTCCACGGATTACTTTGTCTTCGATGCCACCAATGGCATCACTTGGCTCCGGCAGCTGATGCTCAAGATCGTCATCATACCCGAGAAGCTCTACATGCACTCGAACATTATTTCAGTTGTGGAGGGCAAGACTGTCCAGCTGAATCCCACTGATATACAGCCTTACTCGGAGTACTATCGGGGCAAGATCCTCGAGTACATCGTCACCATCACCGCGAGTTCGGGTCACATTCTGGCCGGAAACTCAAAGGTGAAGCGATTCACCCAGAAGCAGCTGGAGCAGGGCAGCATTCAGTATGTGCATAATGGCAGCGAGAATGCCACTGATACCATCACCCTGGTGGCCATGGCCAGGAACAAGGAGAGCGTGCCCTTTGAGCTGGAGTTTGCGGTGGTTCCGGTTAACGACGAGGAGCCCATGATGGTCACCAATACGGGTCTGCAGGTGTGGAATGGCGGTCGTTATGTCATCAGGAATACGGATTTGTGTAAGCATGAGAGGATTTATTTATAAGGCAAGAGTTTTCGGTGTATTAATTTTTGTAAAATGTGTCCTTGCAGTGGCTCAGGACTACGACACTCCGCCGGAGAATCTCACCTTTGTGGTGCATCACATTTACGGCGGTTACTTGGCCCGAAAATCCGCACCTCAGCGCAAGATCGAGCAGTTCACCCAGGCTCAGGTGAATCGAGAGGATATATACTTTATGCACGACTCCAACTCCCGGCGGAATGAACTCTCCTTCATAGTCACCGATGGCCTGTTCAACACCTCTACTCAGATCCTTAACATTGAGATCAAGCCCATTGAAATCCTGGCCGAGCACAACGAGAACCTGCATGTCTTTCCGCTGACCAAGAAGCAGATACTCCGCGATCACCTACACTTCAAGTGCTCCGACGAGGAGCGGGAGATACACTACAACATCACAGTTCCCCCAAGTCTGGGGCGCATTGTGAATGAGTATTTGGATAATGGCTTCACGAAGGAGGTCAACGAGTTTACCCAAACGGATGTCGATAATGGCCACATCTTTTACGAGCACACGGCCGTCATTATGGAGTTTCGCATCAACGATTCCTTCTACTTCGATGTGGTGGCCGAGCGGAGTGACCGGTTGTTGGATCAAAAGTTCAACATCGAGATATCGGTTTCTTCTGGGGGCTTGCTCAGGTTCCTGCCAGTGAATAAGCTCTCCGTGGATGAGGGCGGTTCGGTGCCTATAAAACTGGATTTCTCAAAGATCTTGGAGTACCTGAAAACGAAGGCTGGCATCAATAATCCCGAGCTGTTTATAGAAGCGATACAGAAACCCTCGCATGGCAACATCGGTCTGGGTCATGAGTTTAGGAATATGCAGAGGTATCACCCAAGTGATTTTTTCACCAAGAAAGTTTACTACATGCACGATCATTCGGACACCTTGGAGGACACCATACTCATGTCGGTTTATCTGACCCAGGGGTGAGTTATGGTGGCAAATAATATTTTAAATTTAGCATAGATAATTTTAAAAAAACAAGAAAGAATGCTAACTTTGGCCAGCCAAAGTTTGTATACCCTTGCAGGTAACAATTAAAATATATCATAACTAAGCCAAAAATGCATTAATTTCGATTCGGAAAGCAGTTTTGTGTTAGTTTTCATTAATTTAAAAAAACTGCATACCAAATTTAAAATTTTAAGAAATCAAAATTTTTGGCCATTTTTGCTAATTTTAATGATGTAACCCCTTATAAAATTTTGCAAAAATGGCCTAAAAATCGATTTCTTCCGGACATGTCTAGAAAGATTCCCCTGGTGATGCTGATCAAGAATATATATACTTTATAGGGTCGGAAACGTCTCCTTCACTGCGTTGCAAACTTCTGACTGAAATTATAATACCCTGCAAGGGTATAAATATGCACAATAAGTCTATTAAAAATATTTAAAATATTATTATATTTCTATTGCATTTTATATATTTATTTATTCATTTTATTCAACACAATTTCCTTATACTTTCCAGCAACATTTTCCTTTGCAACCTCACCATACCGGTCTCCATAAACCCCATCAACGACCAACCCTTCCACTTGATCACCCACCTGCCTCAGATGACCGTGGTCGAGGGCGAGAATCGCACTATCACCAGGAACGATTTGCTCACAGAAGACGCGGATACACCCCCCGAGGAGATCATGTACGACGTGATGAGCGGACCCACGCTGGGAGTGCTCAAAAAGATCTCGAACGATGGCCAGGTGGAGGATCTGCTGGCCTTTTCGAATCAGTTTACACAGGCGGACATCAACAACGATCGGATCGTGTATGTGCACTTTGGCACGCCGCAGTCCACCACATTTTGCTTCACTGTATCCGACGGCCAGTCCAATGCCGCCTACGAGATATTCACCATCAAGATAGCTCCCATAAGTCTGCATCCTGCGGCGGTTCAGGTGCCAGTGAAGGTCCAGCAGGGCGCCACCAGTGCCTTCATGAAACTGGATCACATTGGCGTCACCACGAATGTCCAGGTGGCGAGGCTGTCCTACAATGTCACCAACTCTCCGCTTTACGGGATCATAGTCTTCAAGCATCAGCCCACGCTGAGGTTCAACCAGCAGCAGCTGGAGACCTCACAGATCAGCTATATGCAGACGGATCTGAATCGGTCCAACGACACCTTCCAGGTAAGCGCCTATGTCCCAGGCACCAACTATGCCGCCCAGGTGGACGTGGTGATGGAGGTGGAGCCCGTCATACAAATCGCAGACATAGTGATGAAGGAGGCCGACACTGCCACCACGGGAGGCAAGGTGAAGCTGCTGCCCTCGCTGGACAACGACAATCCGCTGTCCCTGAAGCTGAACAAGTTCAATCCGAAGTTCGTGATCACCAAGATGCCGGCCACGGGGCAGATCAGGAAGATAATCCGCAGCACGGGCCTCACTTCCGATGGCCAGAACGAGCGGTCCACGAATATCTTCTCCTACAAGGAACTGCGGAGTGGCGTGGTCTACTTTGTGCCCCACTCGCCGGTGGAGGAGACTGAGGCGGACAGCGATACCTTCGACTACCAGCTGCTCATCAAGACGGTGCAGCCGGCCCAGGCCTCGGTGCTGATAGAGTACAGGAGCAGGATCGAGGAGACGGAGACGGTTCACCTGGGCAGTGCTGGCGGCTTGTCCATCAATTACCTGGCCATAGGCTGTGCCATATTCATCGTTCTAATCTGCCTGCTGATCGTCCTGCTGATCCTGAAAATCCGCAAGCTGCGGAAGCACAAGGCGGACATATCCAAGGACCAACCGCCGGCTCTGCCCTGTCCCCCGGACCTGACCTCCGTGAGTCCGCAGCACCATCTGCACAACCACCACCACAGCAGCCATCACTACGCCAGCTCCGAGGCGGACTCGGTGCCGGCCACCGGCAACTCCACGCCGCTGCCCGGCTTCAGCAATATTCCGCACTGCAAGATCATACCGGTGGAGTCGTACAAGCACGAGTTTCCCGACTACGACCCCGACGAGGAGGAGACGGATGACCAGTGCGACCCGCAGCAGATGATGCTGCCGCAGCGCTACAATCCCTACCACCTGGATCACGACGCCTGGAGTTCGTCCTGCGACATGGCGAACGACTTTGCGGGCTATGCCTCGGTGCCGCAGAGTATCTCCGGATCGGTCAGTTCGCCGCCCTCGGCCCCGCCCACGAATCCCTTGCTGCGAAGGAACCAGTATTGGGTTTGAAGTACTACAAATAAACTAAAAAGTATACAAAAAGAGGGATCAAGGTACAGTGGAATTTCGGGATAATTAATTTTAAAAGGTCACGAATTTAAGAGTTGCTTCTGAGTTTTTTTTTAATATTGTTAACGACAAATAGTGCCACAACAAACATCATGTTCCCCAAGAAGTTCCACTGTAGAATGACAAACGCGATCAAAATTGGTTCAAATTGGATCGGAATTATTAGTCGTAGGTTATTTATTTAAGTGTAAGCATTACATTTAAGGCTGATGTACGAGATTCGTTAGGGATTAGAGAGTGGAAGCATTTTATAAAAACTTACAGCAATTTTTATATGTATTTCTATATATATTTCCATATATTACTATATATAATATATGAAATCCAAAACATATCTGGCGTGTCATATACAAGCAAACGATTAGATTTAGAAAAGCAATCGAGAGTTATACTCAAAAAGCCAACATAACTTTAGACTTAGAGACATTGTGTTTGCCAACCTGGAATACTTATTACAATAAATGACAATACTTTTAAGCGGAATTGAGTTGTTTTAATGTGGAATTAAAAGTGGAATAAAAAATACAAATTATATAATTATAAAATTTTGGAAAAAATGACAACTTTTTTTTTCCAACATGGCTAGAAGGACTCGCCTGTTAATGCTGGTTTATTTTATTTATTTATAATTAATAATATATTTTACAATTATTATTTATTTATTTAGTATTTAAGGCTACAGAAGGAAAGTTACAGACTTTTTGTATTAAAAAAAAAAGAAGAAACTAGTGTTCGTTTTCTTAACCTTTGAATACCATATAGTATGTATCTTTCTTGCCCAGCAACGGATATTCCTTTTAATGGAAGTTCTTCAGTTACTAAAATTAAAATAGTTAAATATTTTATACAGTTAAAAGTTAATTAAGTATTTAAGGCCGCATTGGGATTAAGTACTGTCTGCATACACAGAGGCAGAAGTTACTTATTTTATATATACCTATTTCCTATATATAAAAACCAATTCCATTCCTATCAAATCTTGTGTCTTATATTTTCCAGAAACTAAAAGCATTTAAAAGGGATTTTTAACCCCAAGCAATGCCTTAAATTCTTCTGGTTTTCCACATAAACTGATCGGAATCGGAAGCGGAAACGAAGCTATATATATATTTTTCCTTGCTTAAAAATTAACACGAATATCACTACGATTCAATGTGATGCACATTTTGCTTTCGCTGGACTCATTCAAGTCGAAGAGATTACTTCGAGTGTACAATATGGCTTTAGAAAGCAATCGCAGAGGTGGCTGCGTTGTTGCTGGGCTTCTCGGAAACCGGCGTCACGACCATGGCCTGATTATCGTACCCGTAGCCCACCTCCGTGACTATGGTGGTGGGCGTGGTGCTATTCTCCGCCGGATAGCGAGTGCTCACTGGCGTCGTCATGGTGAGGACCGAACCCTCGGCAACACCTGCCATAAATCAGAAATAAAACACATTTCAGTGAGCTGTTTACTCGCTTTCCAGGTAGTAAGCAGAGGATCCTTACACTTACCTGCCACACTGTAGATCTGCGATTGCGCCTGCTCAATGTCGCTGCCATGGTGGTGGCGATTGATGGCGTTCAGGTTCTGTATGGTGGTGGCATTGAGATCCTTCCCGTTCGCCGTTGCCGGATGCGGAAACGCCTTGGCCTGCAGTCGCTGCAGCATCCTTTGGATGCATCGCCTGTGGAAGGTCCAGCGCAGGCAGTGGAACGCACACCGAAGTGCAATCAGGACGAGCAGGATGGTCAGCAGCAGCAGGATCAGGTGCTGGGTGCTCTGGATGTCATGGATTTCGGCCTTCAGGGGCTCGAATCTGTTGAAGTCTGGGGGGAGGAAGCAGGTTATTATTTTAAGTTAAATACAGACAAAATAGAGATTAAATGGATAAATAAAGACACATCCAAGATAATCATAAAATGCACTTTGCTATTATGACTGTAAATATTTGCAAACCGTATCTTACAGATAAAGTATTTATTTATGCAAGTTGCTGCACTCAGACAAAGGTAACGAATAATCTAAAGAAATAAATTTTACTTAATTCATTTAACTGCCGAAAATTAAGCAGAATACATGAAAATAAATTTTATTAATGTATTTTCTGTGACTTTTAAGTTAGTCATAATTTCTTTTCCTAAAAAAACGTACAATTGATGAGCTAATCTTAAGGGAACCTGGTCATAAGCTTTGTAATTACAATACAATTGAAGGCTGCTTGAAAAAACCAGAAATTATATTCAACTTTCCAAATTACCCTATCGATTATATAGTCAAAGCTGATTTAATCGTTTGGGAATCTTTAAGAAATTTACACAAATACGGGTTACACATTGTGTAAATTTAAATTAAGTTAAATGATATTTTTAAATATTCAATTTAATTATTAACCATATCTAGCTGACCTTAAAAAACTCTAAATAATTTCGCCTATTCTGTCAGTTTTTCTATTCTCTCTCCACTTTCTTATCATATCAGTTTTCTTATATATGTAGGTCATACTTACCGGAACATTCCTTGGCGCAGGTTTCCGCCTGGTAATTGTGCGATTTATTGTCGCAAACATTGATGCAGGGCTCGCAGCTCTCCAGAAAGGTGGAGCAGTACTCATCCAGCGGATGGCACATCTTGCCGTGGCAGCTCTTCCCCGGAATGCCATTATTGAGGGCCGTTACCAGGGAAAAGCTGGGCAGCAGCGAGGCTCCAATGGAGAGTGATAATGGGCGCATTTCCTTGCCAGACATTTGTGTGACGTAGTTCTAGTGTTTATGTACTATTTATTTACTGGTATTTCCGCTACGCTCAACTGCCGTTTGCATAACACTTGCCACTCTCCCCGCCAAAGGTTTTGTTTTGATTTTTTCTTTTTAATAATTTACTTTTAAATGCAGGCCCAAAGGTGTGTGTGATTCATGCTCCACAGACGCTGGCTGACTAACTAACTTCTTTTTTTAATTGTTGGCTTCTGTGGAGTCTGTCTCTTTGTATTTGTATTGGTGCAAAACGGGTTTTATCTTGGCCAGGTTTCACTGCAATTTGCAATGCTTTTCGTGGGGGTTTTACACATTTTCACAGGGATTTGTTAGAATATATTTTAAAGCACTGTATTCGTATTTTATTTACTATTTTATTTTGTTATTTATTATATAAAAAAAATGTTTTTTTCTCGGATTTCACTCTCTTCAGGTGCGTGTCTGGCGAAGCGTTTTGAGCCACATTCAACTCGTTACTGGCCGGAATGCCTCGTCGCGTCGTCGATCGCTCGCTGTTACCAATTACTCAGGCACCAACACACTTGCAGCTCTCAAAACCCATACACTGGCAGTGCGACTTGACTTTTGTTTACCTTTTTTCACGTCGAAAGTATCTCTATATATCTATGATGCCTCGCAGGTAACCAGCGAGCTCCGTGCTACTTTGAGTGGAAACCAACTCCCGAAGGCGCAAAAGTCGCCATACTTTGAACCCGGCTTCAGTTCCTCCAATCTCGGCAGCATTTCGCCAAATGAAGGTTGAGATCAGCGAGAAACTGGCCAGCAAATAAATACAAATATCAAATTCCACTCAGAGGCCTGCAATGTTTGTTTACACTTCTGCCAGCTTATCATTGAAATCCAAGATCTTTTCGATTCACTTGTTTACCATTGAGTGTTATTTACATTATGCGTAAAACAATAAATTAATGAGAAAATTGTGGACAGCAGGAAATTATAAAATAAATATTAAGAGGGTAAGTGAAGCTGCTTTTGGACCTAATCCATATTCTAGGTCTATTTGTGTCAAATATGTGAGATATGTTAATTATTTCAAAAGCATATTTATTTATAATATTAAGTAATGTTGACTATTTAAGAGAGTGAGTGATTTATAAAGAAACTGAAAATTAATATTATAAAATGACTAAAATTATGAATATAAATAAATTTAAACGGTTTTTACAAACCAAATCAAATTTAAAAAATATATATTTAGTGTCTTGAAAAATATTCTTTGAAAATATATATTTAAATTCTTTTTAAGACAGTTACCTAGCTTTATTTCAATAATAAATAACACTTGATGTCATGGCTAAAAAAAATAACTCATGCCAGCAAAGAATAAATTATAAATTCTTACAAGCAAAATAGTTCTGGTTGTTGTTACTATTTTTTAAACATTTTTGTTGTTGTCATTTTACTGGCTCAAAAACCAGTTTTGTGAGTGGATTTACTCAAGGTTCGAAGCCCGTCTAGAGGTTCGTGTATTGGTTATATTTAAAAAAATATAATGGGCACCACTGAAATTTGTTCACAAAAATGGTTTTAAAACATAAAATACTCAAAGAAAAATCATTACAAAATTATAGATATAATTTTTAATATTTAACGAATTCTTTCCTATTTAATTGTACAGACAAATGGGTTTAAAAAACATTTTTATTGAGCAAGTTTATGTATTTTATTTTAAAAATATTTCCTCAAACTAGGCAGCACTTTTTCCAGCCCTTCCAGGCCCGTTCTCTCTCTCGCTTTGTTTTCCTCTCTGTATTTATGCTCACTTCCATTGCAGTCACGGTTTCAGATACTTTTGTATCTCGTTCCAGCTCGAGTGCCGCTGCAGTGTTGTTGCCGCCGCTGGCTGCCTCTAGTTTTGAGTCAAACAACATCCATCCATCCGTCCATCCACATTCATTGTAAGCATTCGCTGAGCGGCTTTCGCTGTGGAATGAGCTGCCTAGCGCCCGCCGTTCGAACGTACTTCTGCCGTATCTGCGAGATACAAACCAATTGAAGCGCTTAAATGCAGCTGTCGTCGTTGCGTTGCGTTGCGCGCGTGTTTCCGAATGGAAACTGTGGAATTATAACAATTATTTATCGTGTGTGCAAAAGTGTGAAAGTGAAATAGCCGCCGCCGCCTAAAGAGCGACAACGCAATTAAATGAAAATCGTTCAGATACAGTATCTGTGCATGTTTGTATCTCGGCATCTCAACAAGTGAGGCAAAAACAAAAGGCAGTGAAGTGGAATGCGTCCTTGAGCTGGCCATCTAAACACCTGTTTCGGTCCCTAACATAAATAGAACGAGCCTTAAATAAGATTTTAATTTAAAAATATAAAAAACATCTAAAAAAGAATCCCGAAAGATATAGCTAGAGAGGGAGAAGGAGAGAGCACTCTCTCGAGATGAATAATTTCACAACCACAACTGCAGCCGCTCCTCCGCCAGCCACAAAGGAATCGCTGCCCCGATCAGGACATGTTAATGAGGGTAAGCCATGGGTTAAGGCAGCCCTCAGAGCGCTCTCGGAGCCCTGAAATTGCCCGAACATGAACAGTGGATAATTGGAAATTGATTGGGCTCGAGTGGGGCAATCGGGTACCGCATAGAAGTGATTAATTTCGGTTCTCTTTTCTCAAATTCCTCTTTGACGTTTTCCTACCCTCAATTTATGGCTATCGAGGAATTGGAATTCCTTTTAGAATTATTCCCTGCTCTTGTGGTTTCTTATAAACATTTATTAAATATTTTTTTGCAACTCTATTCTTTGTTTTCTAAAAGTATTTAAAGATTCTTTTGTTTGATTTAGATTTTTTCTTAATTTCTATCTGATGTTGAGTGAAGACTTTTTCTAAAGTATTCCCAAACTATTTCTGTGTTTATTTTTTAGGGAATTTCTTTCAAATAAACCCGTTGATTTTTCACAATTCAGATAATACCTTTTATTAATAACTAATAAAAGAAACTATTTTATTTGCTTTCCTTCTTATTTACTTTTTTAAGAATTCCTTTGTTTTATAGAGCTTAGGTATCTGTTGAATATCTTTAACTTCTGATCGTCTGTTCTTTTGTTCTTAATTACTCTGATTGAAAGAAATCTGTTTTTAAATAATGATAAATTTCTTTATAATATTTCTTAAGAAATTCCATTGGATTTGTATAGTAAAATTTATTTTAAATTAAATCTTGTTTATTAAATCTTTAATCTTAGCTTCATTATAATTTGTAAATTAATTATTAGAGTATTCCAAATATTTTTCTTCATTTTTTAAGCTCCTCCAATTTCTTTGAATAACTTTTTTACAAACATATTTCGTGCATTTTCTACACCTCCATTCGCTCGAGCGATCCGATATCTTTGAATGCCAACATCAGCCAAAACAAACATTGGATTTCCTAGAACTTCTCATGTATCTGCCTGCCTCGAAGTTCAAATGAAATACTTATGTCGAGTCAGATGTAAACAAAGTCGACAGGAAAGAAACACCAGCTAACTCTTATCTCCAACGTTTTTCGAACTTATGTAATAATCCCGACATTTGCATAGGAAAAGGTTACAACACGGAAAGCTCTCATTCATAATCATTTGATGAATAAGGCCAATTAATTGAAATCCGTGTGCGGTGACAAAGAAATGGCTGTTGAGCCATAGATACTACATATGTATGTATCTTTATGCTAATAAGAAAGATTGCCCAAAAGAAGACAGAAGACTGAAGACGACCGGCAGCAAAAACTTTCTCAACTGGCAGCAGTCCACAATCGCCAGAAGTTCCCTCTTCGGTTTGCTTCCGACTCGAATTTGGTTTTGAAAGTCTCCCCGAGACGATAAACAAAAACAAAAACCAAAAACAGAGAGTGAGACTGAGACCAACGACCGAACTGCGAAGAAGAAATTTCAGTTTTCAGCTGAAAAATAAACAAACGCTGAAGCTGTTATACATAGTTCGCTTTTCGAGCAATAATAGTGGCAGGGAAGCCGCCGCAGAAAGGGAAAATATCTACATATATAGCCACAGTGCTTCTCATTTTTGTTTAGAGGTGCAAAAAAAAAAATGATTGCCCCTCGGGCACTTTCCATTTAATGATTACACAGCAAAAAATGCGAAAATAACAATGGTGGGTTTTATAATAGGATCTTTAGGGGGTTTGTTTTACAGGAACATATATGTATACATATATCCAATAAACCAATTTGTAATCGAATAATAAGGTGCATAACGGCACTCTACCGACCTTGGCTTTGCCTTCTGATTTGGCTGGCAAAAAAGTACTTAAGACTTTGGCTTAAGACTTTTGTTCTTTCAGAATTCAACCTTTTCAGTTTATCACTGATATTTTCCCTGAGTGCACATGCAAAAAGCATTTGTATCTTGAAGAAACAGCGCGTGCAGCAGGCACCAGCTGACGCTTTGCCGGATTTGGCCGAAGGGGGATTTAGCAGCCGCTTCATTTGCGCCCAAGCACGCATGACAAAAGACCGAGAGACCCCCTCGGTTACAGTTTTGAAATAGCCAGTATTTCCATCGCCATCTCCGCTCCAAACTCACTCAACTGCTGGCCTCTTTTTGCTTTATTTTATTTGTATTTTTATTTTATTTTTTTTTTTGCCAGTGACTGACAAGTGAAGGGGGGTTTCTGCTGCAAAAGCAACAGAAACAGAAAACAGCGGCAGTTGCATGACGAGCCGCCGCAGCTTGAATGCAGTTTCTCGGCATTTTGATACCCTCAAAGCGGGTATTATGGTTTTTACAAAGAGAATATTATTAATATAACCTATAGCTGCTATAGGTAAGGGTATCCCAAGTTCTGCTACCCCTAGTTAGATTTCCCCTCTTCAACTCTTGTGTTTCTGCATGCCTGGAATGATTCACTTGCCAGGTCCCCACGATGACAGGATGTGCCAGTGCCTCCTGCTCCTCCACTTGGCTTTCTATGGGGCTGTAGCACTTAAAGGAAACTCGGATCCCACTCCACTCCAGCATTGTTGAAACACTTTCTTTGGGCCGCCTTTGTCCCGACTTGCGGTGGCCTACAAAGCAACTCTTTAAGATGCCCAAATAATGGAGCGATCTCCAGACCAAGAAGTGCTCCTGCCACAGGGTGCTAAATAAATGCTGGCCCAAATAAACAGCCAAGATGTGTGCAGAATAAGTGCACTTGGTAGATTTAGCATTTATGCCGAAGAGCCTCCATAGAACCTTCTCGTTTTTAAATTTAATTAATTAGTAGACACAAGTAGGCTTTATGAGATTATCTAGGTTTCTTCATTTATAAAAATGATAAATAATAAGAAAAATTTCTACAAATTCAGATGAAAATTTTAAAAATTGACTCGTCTGCTCACGCTAATCTTCATATTAAAACCACAACACCCTCTTCAAGGGTATTCCTACCAAGATGAAGACGACCAACGATGATGGGGCCTGGCATCCATGGCTAAGGTCAATGTAAGGCTGGCTAAATATACAGCTGCCGCTTGTGTGTATCCGTATCTGTATCTGTCAGATGCAACATTCAAATAGTCGGCATTGCGGGCCACATTTCTCGTTCGGTGGCAGTGGCATGTTCAACAACCTTGAGTCAGGTTTTTCCACTTTCGGCGCCGCTGCTAGCCGCTTGTTGCAACTGCGAGTCGTCAACACAGCGTCAACAGCATTTTTCCCCAGGAAAAACATACACACTCACACACACAGTGCCGCATTTTCCAGCTCGCTCATAAATTTTCCCGTCAAACTGCTTTCTAATTTTGGCTTTCCATCGTATGGTATTTTTTGTTTTATGCATAATTACGAGTATGCATTACCATTCGGGTTGTGTAACTCTTCACGCGATCGGAGCAGCAACGCGCCATTCATGCGTGTTCAAAGTGCCAACCTGAACTTGCGGCATGAATCGGAATCGGAATGGGTTTCGGGAGTGGGTTCGGGTGCGGGGGAGAAATGTGGCAGAAGAAATGGCCAAGTAAAATGCGGCGAAGCCCTGCAAGTGCCCACCAGAAAGGGCAGCGAAGGGGCCCCAGACTTTGGCGTTCTGTGAACTGTAAATCGACATGGCCCGCATGCAAGGTTAATTGAAAGTGGCAGGCGAAATTAGTTAAGGTTGCCAAACCAAAAAAACGTTTTGGCCAAATTGAAGGCGCCGCCACAAGCGGCTAAACAATTGTTGCTGCACATCGGGAGGAATACTTGGAAGGGAAGGGGGTACGTTGGAAGGAGAACGAGTTAAATAAAAAATTAGTTGTAATATAATCTATTAAAGTTTCCTAATATTTCTTAGCTTAAAGTATATTTCAGTAAAATCATCATATAGAGAATTATTATAGAAAATGACTACTACCACCATTTCAGGTTCTGTTATACATTTCACTGCTTAATTTCTTTTCTCAGAATTTTATCAAATCCCCCGGTATCAGCAAATTTCAATCCACCTTCGCTTAGCTGATTTCCCCGAAAATTTCTCGCACCTGCACTCTCTTCTTGGCTCAAAAAGAATTCTGCTGAAAGCCAAAGCATGTGAATCATGCGCCCTCGCCGACTGACTTACTAACCCGTTCTGTGTTTTATTTTTATTTTTATTCTGGTCAAGTCAATAAAACGCTTTTTGTGTGTGACCCACATTGCACTCCGCCCAATTTATTTGCGGCTGCAAAGGTTAACAGTTCTCCGCGTGCTTTTTGGCCAAAACCCGTTCGCGTCCCCACATGGGGAGCTGCAATAACTCAGCTGTCACAGGAAATCGAAAAGAATTCCAAGTCAAATTTGTCGTGTGACTCGGCGAATTCAAGTGACACGACTATAATTTTTCTAGTCTTGTGCACAATTTTATGCCTCGGCCATTTCCTTTGCCTCTGGAAAAAGAAAAAACAAAGCATTATTTAACGGGCAGCGTACAGTAAGTCGATTCCAGCACAGGTTTTTCTTTCCTTTTTTTTTGCCATATACTATAATTTGTTTTGTATTTTTGCCCCGTTGCCCGTTGTGCATATTAAAAAGCAGCGCTGGCCCGGGGAATTATAAAGCAAAAGCGCAGAGAAACAGCAGGAAAAAATCATATACAACATATATGGGTACTGGTAAAGTGCCGAGACTTTGTAAGTTATATGCTGAATGCACAAAATATACCAAGAAACAAAAGGTTGTTTTGTATTTTCCAACTAAACGAGTTGAATACCCTTTAAATAAAAACAGGGAATGTTGAAGATAACATTTTAAAGAGTATATAATTTACATTAAAACGATCAACTTATTTAAAATCAAAAAGACCCAAAAACAGTCTTATAAAAATATATTCACAGAATTAAAACTCATTATGTATTGCTAAGAAAATATTCCTATTCATTATAATTTTTGTAAAATTAGTTTTTATGGCTAAAAATCCCCATCCCAACCAAGAAAAAATGATGTCAAGTCAGCAAGATCGCTTTAAGATTGCCAATGTATGTATCTGACCGTATACACTCGCATCTACTCGTATTTTTTCTTGCATAAATCTTGGTCTAGAATTACCGAACTCTTCTAGGGCATAAACATAGTGTAGCCGCCTCTGAGAAGAGGGGGTTTTTGGGGGGGGTGTTAAGAGGTAAGCAACCTGAGCTGAGCAATCAGGCCGAACCACTCAACACAAAAACTCGGCGAAAACTGAACAGCGAACCAAGAAAAACTGCGAGTAGGCAAAAAGTATAAAGTGTTTTAGTTTATGCAGAGGCACAACATACCATTTTTTTTTTTTTGTATATATATAAAGAATCCTCTTAGCTATGTGTGAAGTGTCTATGTGCAGTCAGAAATCAGAAACAACTAAATTGATTATGTCTGCCAGTTCGACGCCCCAGCAGCAGTTCAGTTCTCACTGCAACGCCACTGCAATTTCTTTTTAAAATTGCACTTAATTAAGTGAAATCGCCCCTAAGTGCATTAACAGAAGGAGCGGGCGGGAGAGGGAGGTTCCTGACCCATACTAATTCATTTTCAGCCTGCAAGCTCTCTAATTGCACTAGAAAATCTACGGTCAGAGTTCAGCTAATTGCCCGTTGACAACTGTCGAGTCAAAGAACCTTTAAATTAAGCAGAGTTTGGGCTAGATCCCGAGTGTGTAGATAAGGAAATTATGTTAATAGGGGGCAAGTCAAGGGAAATGGTGATTAAGATAAGGTTACAGAGTAATAAAGAGTGATGGAACTGCGGGAAAACGAACTATTACTTATAAATATAATATATTTTAGAACAAATAAAGCACATATTTAAGTCTATGCACTTTAATTGCTATAGTTACCAGATACTTCTACTTTCCTCATTGAACCAATTAGTCAAAACTTTCCCCATTAAAAAAGATAAACATCCCTGTCATTGTCAATCAAAAACCACTTTCATAGAGATACCTAGATACCTAGATATGAACTATCAATTCCGATAACAAGACGCACTTGAGATGCCACTGGGAGCCACCACTTTCCCACTTGGCCACACATCCACTTCCACTTTCCGGTGACAGTGACTGAGAGTCGTCGCTGCTCCGTGGACTCCCCAAACTAAATGAAATGATAAATTACTCCCAGAGAACCAGACAACACAGACGTTTTTCAATTGCGTGGATCGTGCATTTGAACACTGAGAAAAAAGTGAGCTGTATTTGATTAATATCTGAAAAATATTCTGATTAAATTGCTTGCTAATAGAGCTTAACACAAGAAAGAAAACTGACTTCGGGAAGCCGAAATTTGTATACCCTTGCAGTTTGCCATAGGATCTTTCATTCAATCAAAAATCGATCATAATTAACCCAAAAAGGCTTCAAATTCAATTCGGAAAGCTTTTCTGTGCTTGTTTTTTCCAGATAAACAAATCTGCTTACTAAATTTCACATTTTAAGATATCAAAATTTTTACTAACTTTTCTGTGACAATTGGACCGTTTTAAGACCTCAAAAACACAAAAAAAAATTATGAAAAATGTTTTTCTGCAAAACATGGCTAGATCGACTCCGCTTTTTGTGCTGATCAAGAATATATATGACTTATAGGGTCGGAAACGAGTCCTTCGCTGACAAAAATCATAAAACCACTCAAGAAGATCTAAAATATTCACACTCTTTAAATGAATATTTTTATATATTTTAAATGGTAATTTTTTTATAAAAAATAATCATAACTAAGCCGAAAAAGCATCAAATTCAATTCGGAAGGCTTTTCTGTGCTTGTTTTTTCAAGGGTAACAAAACTGCATACAAAATTTCAAATTTTAAGATATTACACTTTTTGCTAATTTTTTCTGTGACAATTGAAGCATTTTAAGACATCAAAAATACAAAACAAAATTAAGAAAAATGTTTTTCTTCTAAACATAGCTAGATCGACTCTGCTTTTTGTGCTGATCAAGAATATATATGATTTATAGGGTCGGAAACGACTCCTTCACTATGTAACACACTTTTGACTGAAATTATAATACCCTGCAAGGTTATAAAAAGACAAATTAGGTTACCTACAAAAGTATATGAGTGGATATTACAGATAGACTGATATCATTATTTTCTGACATCCCCTGCTTATCGTGATCTATTTTATAAATTAATTAAAGACTGACTACTGCTGACTACCTTTTTCTCTCCGTGTAAACACATGGGCACACGAACGAATTGGAATCACACAAGGGAAGCTACAAAAAACACAAATGAAATTCTACACACACACAATTAAGGGGAAGAGTCTTTACCACGCTTTCGCTTATCAGCGAGTGGGATCGCTCTATGCTCGGTTAAATCGATCAAAATGGGGCCCCCTTCCCATCGACTCCAACTCCTCCTCGGGGATTACAACTTCAATGGAATTCCTTTGTCCGATGCCCGATTATGTCCCCAATACACAGTCCAAAGGTGACTCATCATCATCATCATCGTCGTCGTCGGGGGCATCAAGTGGAGCACAACCGATTTTGACGATCTTGCGGGGCTTCATTAGAGATTCGAGAGCGGGGGAAATCGGAGAAGATGCGGGCATTAAATATCACTTGTCATTAGATACTCTCACACGTAATTACCTGGCCATAAAAAGGTGCTCTCAGTCTTATTTAATACTCTTTCCTATTGCTTCCGCATTGCAGTGTGCAAGGAGTGGCTCGTGCGTGAGGATGGCGCCTTGGCTTACAAGCTGCAGTCCCAGGAGAGTGAGTATTGCGTAAAGTAGAGAACAAATGGGAATGGGTAACTAATTAAAAGTTATCTCCTCCACAGTTAACGACTTTTACAAGGGAAATCGCTACAGAAATGCAGTGGTTCGGGAGGATTTCCCCACCGCCTTGCACGAGCAGATCAAGGAGAAGGAGCAGGCCCAGAGGCGTGTGGATGCCTACAGGAGACGCCTAACAGAGCAGTGAGTTTAAATAAATTTAAATAAAAATTTTAAGAACAAAATAATTTATAGAAATGCCAAATTATTATTAATTAACCTAAAGAATATTTAAAGCAACGTTTTAAGTTTATTTTCTATTGATTTGTATTATTTTTCTGATCCTTAATCTTTTCTTTTATTAATCCTTATCATTTTTAACCCTAAAAATCTTTAAACACTCTCTGGATAATATATCTTTCCTTTGAGTTTGATCATTGTGTGTGTGTTCCATTGTTAATGAATTTTTTAAGAATATTTGCAGAGTCATTTTGCCGCTATTTACACCTTTTTCGATAGAAACTAATCACAATAATATCTCCCCAGGGAGGAACATGACAAGCGAGTGGCCAAAGAAATCGCTGACAAGCTGGAGCGCGATCTGCAGGAGCAGCAGCAGAAGGAGCTGCAGCAGAGCGAGCTGATAGCCAAGCAAATGCAGGTGATTGTACCTGTTTTTTTTGTTAGAAAACAACCTTCTTACACCATTCTTCTAAATTACAGGAAATCTATGTAAATTTGCCACCTGTACCGCCGCCAGCCACACGCGACAAGAGCCGTCCTCCGCCCCGCCCTGCCAAAGCAAGTATTCACCAGCAGCAGCAGCCGCAGCAGCAGCATCCAGAGCCTAGCACCTCGCAGCAGGCCAGATACAACCACCACCACAGTCACAGTCAACACTTCTCACAAACAGACAACTATGTAGGATTATCGCTAATACCAAATATCGTAGACCTGCCAGCGACAGCAGCAACACCGACCACAAGCACCAGCACTCCCAGTCCCAGTAGAAATGCACAGGCCCACCATTCCCTGTTGGTGAGTGCCAACTAGGGGTGTAAATATGTGTATAAATCTGGAAGAGAACTATATCCACAGAAATATTGCACTGAATATTATTTGGCAAATATAATAAAGTTTGATGTTTCGAAATCTGATCGAAAAATATCGCATTGAATAATCGTTATAAGCGATATGAGATTAAAAATTATTTAAAAAAAATAAATACAACTGTTCGGGTATTTGTTCACCCTTAAAATGTTATTAGTTCTTCCAAATATAATTTTATTCTCATTAGCTAGATATATAAAATTCAACATCAATCTAAATCCTTGCTAGTCTCTAAACTTATTTTTTTACATTTGGTTTAAAAAACACACACATAAAATAATCTTAAACACAAGTTATAAACTAATAACACTACTTTCCTAACCTTCTCAAAGTGAAGCTACTATATTTTATTCGCCAAAAATCAAAAAAGTATATATTATAAAACAGTATCTTTAACTTCCTATACAAAAAACTATAACTTCTAACCCCCACAACATGTAAATATTCATTTCTGTGCACTCACATCGTCACGTTCCTCACCAGGCACAGCAGCAGCCGCTACATCCATCATCATCGCCGGCACGTCGACCTGCTGGAACACACTCCACAACTCCATCATCAGCTAGCACACCTAACACCACCCCACAGCACAGCCACACACAGCAGAAACAACACAGCTCGGCGGCTGGCATCGACGAGGTGGTGGACTATGCCGATGTTGCTGACAGCATACGCGACTACAACATTGCCGTTGTCCCGCCGGCAGCAGCAACATCGGCCAGCGTTGTCGATGCAGCTGCCAAGACAGCCGCGTCGTCACTCCAGAAACAGCGCTCCCCCTCCCATGAAAACCTCCTAAGAACCGAACCGAAATTTCAGAAACTTTCGCCGGAGAAGTACGACCAGCTGGTGGGGAATTTCGGATTGGTTTCGGGACCGGGACCGGGATCGGGATCAGCCAAGGAGGTGGAGCGGCACATGCAGGAGCACGCCGACGATATTGAGCTCTACGTGGATCCCTGCGACTATGCCAGCCTGAGGGAGATCGGACTGCCGCTGGAGGAGATCCAGGAGATGAGCAAGAAGCTCAAGCAGGAGCAGAAAGATGCGGTAAAACGACTACTATCCCTGATTTACAGTGTTTACTTATAACTTTGCCGTTCCCTGCAGTTGCTGGCTCGGAGACTGCAGGCTATCGAGTCCAAGGACTGTGTGCGCCAAGAGCACAGGGATCGCATGCTGGCCATAGAGGCCCAGGACAAGGAACTGGCAAAAATGCTACAGGACAGGGTTAGCAACCACAAACTAGCCCACAAAGAAGGAATTGTTAACAGCAAATCGATATATTTTCAGGAGAAAGCCAAGGCCAAGAGGGCCAAGGAGAAAGCTCGTCTGCGAAAATCGCAGCAGAAGGAGGCCGCCGCCGCCGCCAATGGCAGCCTGCTCTGTGGGACCAACTCCCACTGTGGTCCACTGATGGCCCTGCCCCAGGACTGCCTCTCCAATCACACGCAGGCCGCAGACATTGACGTGGAGGCCTACTCGAATCCCATCGATGTGCTCAACAACAGTCGCGAACAGAGGCCGCACAACGGACCTCTGACGAATGGAAGCCTTACCCGGGATGGGGGATCCAATCACAGCTCCATGCAGAGACAGCAGCAGCAGCAGAGGAGCCTGAACATGGCCCCCGGGCGGGGGGAGGATGACATCTACACACTGCCAGTGGACAGTTGCAGGCCGGGACAGAGGCCCGTGTCGTTGCATATGGCCGCGGAGGCGGTGCAGCAGCTGCAAGCCCACAATTCCATGACGAGGTGGGTTCAAAAATCTTTGATATTTTTAAGAAATTTAAAAAATATATATTATATTTCCCAAATTCCCCCACAGATCGGAGCACTATGGCTCCGAGGCCGGCTCCCATGACAGCTCTCATCACAGTGGGCAGGACATATCGCCGCACATGAAGTACTCCAAGTCCGGCGGCAATTTTGGTATATATGTATTTAAAGCTGCTCCCGGAAATGCCCCGCTATATATTGATCCTTTCTATCCTTTGTGCAGATCAAAGTGCCAGCCCCACGCCGCCTTACATGCCAATTCAGGGTACGCGACGATCAAATTCAAGTGAAGATCGTAAGAAGAAGTCCAAGGACAACAAGTGCACGCATCAGTGAGGGATCAGCATAGTCCATCGCCCCTTTCGATCTATGAATTGTATATGCATATATATTTTGTACCATCTCCCTTTTGACAATGAAATTGTTCGTACTTTCATCGATTTATTCACAAAACATGGTATCTCTAGAACATAGTTGTAGTTTATAGCTTAAATTCATCCAAAATCGTGTCTAGTTTATTGTGATTTGCAATAAAGATTTTCAAGTAAGAAAAATATTATCTTTGATCTGCAAAAATTCTAAAACGTTGACAATATAATAAAACCACTGCAGGAGGTTCTAAATTCATTTAAAAATTTAAAAAGAAGGGGAAGGAGTCATTTTCGACCCATTAAACCATAAATACACTAACATTTTCGAAGTATTCTGGATATTTTAGATTATTTTATCCTTCTTACACTAGCGCATTATGACTCCCTGTAAATTTTTAATAAATAAACTAAATCAAAATAATTTAAAATACAATAAAACAAGCTAAAAAGGATTTAAGATACTAAACTTTATAATTATTCCCGGTTATTCCGATCCATGAAAGTCTTAAATGCAAATAAAATCCAATAGGTAAGTTATGAAGTCATCAGCGCCTCGTACATAAAACCAGAACTGCTGCATTTTCTGTAGAAGAAACTTGAAGCTCGATAAATATAAATAGTATTCGCTGAAGAATGCAGACCTTTACCTTTCCAGAATGTATATTTCCAATAGAGTACTTGCCCTCTCGCAGCTCTTGCTTTTTATCTTACTTTTTTTGCTAACATCAGCAAGTTTGCGTCCAATACCGGAGATCAAAACTTGTGAAACTGGTATTAAAAGTCACAAGTTAGGGTCTCAGGGAATCAGCCATACAAACATTTGCACATGTCACTATCAATGCCAATATATTTACATATACACATAGTCGAGTTCACTGTTCTTGCTTTTGTTCTCGTCATTTTTTTTCACAATTTTCTGGCTGTGATTTTGGTGGTTTCTTGGATTAAATTGCGGCTTGTAGTCAAGCAAAGAAAGCTAGCACATTGTATAGTATGATTTGTAGTTACTACTATACAACCTACTACCTCAATTTGCCAGAGAGAAAAAGGTCCTTGGTTTAGTCCCTTTTGCTGGGTGGATTTTTTGGTAAATTAAAGGATCTTTCGGGTCGGCTTTTATTTTGTGTGTTTCGGTTTTGGTTTTGTTTTCGGTTAAACAAAAATATGTGGTTGGCAAACAAGAAGAATAATAATGGGGAAAAATTATATAAAATATTAAAGCAGGGAGTTATTTTTAATTCAAAATAAATAATAAAATAATTATTTATAATTATTTACGATGCAAATAAGCTGGGTTATAGGATGGTTATTAATTTATTTATTTATTCATGTGTGTTTTAGGTGATGGAAATATTTAATAAATTTAGTATTTATTGAATTTTCTTCTTAAGTTTTAACTATAATTTATTAATTTAAATATGATGGGCTCCTTCTTAGTTAAATTATTTTTGTAATATTTATATGGTGATTTATATTTACACATTTCAATTCATATACTCCTTAAATGCATCATTTTTGTTTGTTGATTGGTTTTAAAATTATATATATTTATATTTCTGAAGAATAAAATTCTTTGTTTTATTAATTTACCATTTTGTATACTCTCTTTTTATACCCTTGCAGGGTATTATAATTTCAGTCAGAAGTTTGCAACGCAGTGAAGGAGACCTTTCCGACCCTATAAAGTATATATATTCTTGATCAGCATCAACAGCCGAGTCGATCTAGCCATGTCCGTCTGTCCGTCTGTCCGTCTGTCCGTCTGTCCGTCTGTCCGTCTGTCCGTCTGTCCATCTGTCCATCTGTCCGTCTGTCTGTTTCTACGCAAACTAGTCCCTCAGTTTTAAAGCTATCTGAATGAAACTTTGCATATAGTCTTCTATATGCTCTCACTGCTATATATGTCGGAACGGGCCGGATCGGACGACTATATCATATAGCTGCCATACAAATGTTCGATATATTTTTAGAAAAAAAATTATAACTTTGCTGTTTTTCAACATTTTTGCACCATTTTTTAGATATGGCCACTCTATATTATTTAAGAATTTTGGTAAAAATTTTATGAAAATCGGACGACTATATCTTATAGCTGCCATAGGAACGATCGGGAAATTAATCGAAAAAAAATTATAACTTCGTTGTTATACCCTTGCAGGGTATTATAATTTCAGTCAGAAGTTTGCAACGCAGTGAAGGAGACGTTTCCGACCCTATAAAGTATATATATTCTTGATCAGCATCAACAGCCGAGTCGATCTAGCCATGTCCGTCTGTCCGTCTGTCTGTCTGTCCGTCTGTCCGTCTGTCTGTCTGTCCGTCTGTCCGTCTGTCTGTCTGTCTGTTTCTACGCAAACTAGTCCCTCAGTTTTAAAGCTATCTGAATGAAACTTTGCATATAGTCTTCTATATGCTCTCACTGCTATATATGTCGGAACGGGCCGGATCGGACGACTATATCATATAGCTGCCATACAAATGTTCGATATATTTTTCGAAAAAAAATTATAACTTTGCTGTTTTTCAACATTTTTGCACCATTTTCAAGATATGGCCATTTTATATTATTTCTGAATTTTGGTAAAAATTTTATGAAAATCGGACGACTATATGATATAGCTGCCATAGGACCGATCAGGAAATTAATAGGAAAAAAATTATAGCTTCGTTGTTTTTCAACGTATTTTTATCTACTCTGAGATATAAGCTTTTTTTATTATTCTAGAATTTTGGTATAAATTTCATAAAAATCGGGCAACTATATCATATAGCTGCCATAGAAGCGATCGGTAAATGCATAAAATATGTAAAGCTGGGAATGTAAAACGGTAACTGTCAAACTGTAATCATAATAAGTATAGGTAAAATGGAATGAAACTCTATAATATAAACATCAAAACCAATCTGCAAGGGTATACAAACTTCGGCGTGCCGAAGTTAGCTTCCTTTCTTGTTTAGTTTTAGTTTTAATTTTCCTCTATTATTATGTGCTTTAAAGTTTGTCTGTTTTGATTTTGTTGCCAAAAACCAGTTGTTTGCATTGACAGACTCCCATAATGCCGGTCTTGTAACAGATATAAAACAGCACAAGTTCGGATTTACGGGTTTCTGTTAATGGTCCATATGTAAGTATGCACCATTTCTTTCTTGTGTTGGATTAGAAGTCGTTGTGCGAATTGCATTCGTCTCGGGTAAGGAAGTAGAAAAAAGCAACCCCATCTGGCGTGGAGGGCAAAAACGCGTTTAATCCATTTCCGTAAAGTTGTGAAATTCCAGCAGGATGAAAGGACTTCCTCTGAGTCATCTCTGCAATAGTTTCGTAATATTTTCCAAATTGCTTTGCATTTAGTTTTGATTTATGTTGACGATTATTTAATGTTGCATTATGCGGTAGTCTCCAAGATTTTATCTAGAGGATAAAGAAGTAATGTTAATATTCGCATTCTTTTGGTTTATTTATTTTATATATTAATGAAATGAGTGATACTTTGAAATACTTGTTACATTTATGGTTTCTTCTTACTAGTCATCAAGGTAGCCTTATTAGATATCTGCAAGGAAGAAATAATAGATTTTTAAAAATAAATTATATAATAATATATTTTTAAATTAGCCTGTGACATATATATTCGATTAAATAGTTGCCTAATATAATGTATTGTTATAATAATTATAAATATATTTAAGTATTTATTCGAAAAGTTTGATGGAAAAATATTAAATCGACTTGCTATCCATATTATAATTACTATTGTATTTAATTAAGACTTGAAACTTCTTTTGTTTACTCATTATTTTGGTTTTTTTTTAAGCACTGTTTAATTTAGTTTACTTCGGAGGCACACTGACTCGTTAATTCACTGATGGGGTTTTATCTTTTTATATTAATAGGAGTATTAAATTAAATTATGGTAAACCTTATAATCAAATACACTTCACTAGTTCAATCACAGTTTACTTTTGGTCTTTTTTAAATATTTGAGTGGCTTTTTGAAACGTTATGCCTTTGTTATTTTTTACTATTATGAATTTATGCTTTTTCCGTAAAGCAATATCAATCCCCAAAGTCCTCAATTTGATTTGCTTTATGAACTATTTGTATATTTTCCTTTATTCGTTGCTGCTTCCACTTGACTCTGCCACAAAATCCTCAATTGATTTGTTTAGAAATGCTTTCTTGATTTAATATTTGGATTTGGATTACACATTTGGCAAAACTGCACGTTTATGGCCCGCGTTCTCTGTGCTCCGCTCTGCTGCTCTGTGCTCCTTTTATGGCCAGAGACAATTCCACTTGACTTGGCCTAATCCTCGATGGATTCTCTGCCCATTGCCTCTGGCCACGTAAGCCGATCGCTGCCGCTGCAGATTGAATTTGCAACAAAGGAAAGCCAGAACGATGGCTGAAATTGCATTACATATTCATCTTTTTCCCTTTTCCGCCAAGGTGAAGGAGGAATCGCCGAAAAATAAAAAGTAGTTAGACACGAACAGCATATAGACGGGTGTATATAGTGTACACAGATGTATTTATGTGGGAAGCGGTTGCTGCAGCTGAAGCTCAGAAGCGAAACTGAGGCTGAAGCCGAACCTGAAGCCATGGCCAAAGCTAGCTGTGGGCAGAGCAGAGCGGCGACTGCGACGGCGGCTGTATCTATCGAGTGTTTTGGCTATATGTGTGCTGCCGAGTTCAGTTCCCATGTTGCAGCATGCTATATGTATGGTATATGATGGCGCTGACGCTGGTACTGGTACTGGTACTGCTGCGTCTTCACCCATTGGTGCTGCCACATGTTTTTGCAGCTAAAAGGAAGGAGCTGCTGCTGCCTGCCCGCCGCTCGTTCGGTGGTAGACAGCCGTCGTCGGTCGTCGTCTGGAGCGCAGCAGTTCGTTGGCTGTACCTATTTTCGCGTATTCCGGCCAGGACCTGCCTCAACAACAGACAGACGCTGCCGCCGTCGTCACTCACAGCACACACACACACGCACACCCTGCACACACTAATGCGCTGCGAGAGCGGGTTTCCTTCCTACCATAAAAACCGGTAACACAGCGCTGCAAATATTTTTGCATTCTTTTTTCCCTTTTTCTTTTTTTGCAAACCCCGTTCGGTTTCTCTTTGATGCTTCTCTTTGGCTATCGGTCAATCCTCTCTTTTTGTTTACTTTCTCAGCTTCATAGAAATAACAATTTAGTACACGCAGAGAAAATGCACAGGGCTTTAAATATTCATATTTCAGACGTTACTTTTTTGGGAAATATAAATTATAATATTAGTGTAATAATTTGGTACACATTGGGATGGGTTGACAACAATATAGAGCAAAGCAAAATATTTGTAACCCTGAGCGCACTACGAAAACATTGTAAAAAAATGTGCGTAAAATATCACTCATACCACACGTATGAAATCCCCTTTATTTTTTGTACACATTTAGCTTGAAATAAGTTTAATATTTCCCTTTAATAAACATTTAAATCAATCATTCCCCGCATGTATTTAATTTGTTGTGCTGCAATTTCATTAAAACTTCATTATTTATGAGAAACGTTGCGTATACGCAGCGTGGCCCTTGGCCCAGGCTCATTAATCACAAAAAATATATGCATGTAGATTTTCATTTCTGTCCAGTCGGCAGGATGCAATCATCTGGAAACTGTTTGCTTTTCCTTCACTCTCTCCAAGCGAGCGCGCCTTGTCAAATGGCATTTTTGCCATTAATTTTCATTTATCGCTGGCAGCACAAAATTGAATTAAAACTGCGACATTTCAATGGTAATTTGCAGTGATTGGTGGAAATTATTGAAGGGAAACTCGGTAAGTAAATAAAACCAATTAAATAATGAGGAAATGCCCATAAACTGTGTAAATAACATGTGTTTATGTAAGTTAAAATTAAAATTAAAATATTTTAAATAAAATCATTTTAAGAATTTCATATTTTTGTTTTGCTACAAACTTCCTAAGGGAAATAAAGGTAAATGGAAAAAAAGCTTTGACTTTCAAAAATGTACAAATATTACTACCTCATTTGTCCTTTTTAAGTATTGATTTTCCTGCTCTGCTTAATTGCTAAAATGAATTTTGTGCCACTAAACAATTTTCCGATTAGTGGCAACTTGAAGCTTGGCAAAAAACCAAGGCCAAATCACCAACACACACACAGGCATGAAGTCAAAGCCAATGCCACACTCACATGTGCACCTACACACATGTAATAAAGGCACCTACTCGTAGGCAGATTGCACAAAATTATGCAATAGACCGCACTCTTTAACTCTTCTAACTCTTGCAACGCTCTCTTCGAAGAGCCAGTGCGCTGCTCGTGGCTGTTGTTGATTCTCACTCAATGCCATTGCCATGGGAGCAACGATAAGAGGGGCGGCAGGCGGTGGAGTGGAGAAGAGAAGAGAGTGAAGCAGAGTCAACAACATCCATCCAATTCAATTAGAAGCTGCTGCTTGGCCTTCGCCTGCCTGTTCCACTGTACTCCTTCGCTGCCGCTTCCCGTTTCGTGCCACAGACAACAACAAATGTGGAGTTGCGCTGCACGGTGGCAGTGGCAGCGGCAACCCTATTGCAGATGGGAGAGTTTTGGCGAGTGCCGGAGCTGCAAAGTTGATTAACCTTTGGGCGTTCTGTTTTGCAACTTCATTCGTGGAGCTGCTCCGATTTAAATGGAGTTGCTGTTTGCTTGTGTGTGTGTGTTATGTGTCTCCTCCTGCAGTGTCTGTTGCTCTTCTTTAGAGTGTGTGCGAGTGTGAGTGTTGTTCGCAGCCATGTTAGCAGCCATTTTTAATGGCCAAACACGATGGTCCCAACAACAAGAAGAGAGCGAGTCTCCATAGTCTCCAATATCCCATATCCATCTCCATTCGATCCCGCGATTCCGTTCATTTCGGTTTGTGCTCCATTCACTCTTTCGGTCGCTTCCCCATCGTTGCTTACAGAGAGCGAAAAAGTTTACAGATAACTTGATTAGATTGTATTTTTTTATTCATAAAAGACTGTTTATGAAAATTACTATTTATAGGGAGAACATCAACTAGACCTTAAGGTCATGTTGAAGTTATTTTTTTGTCAAAAAAATAAAACTAAATTTTGAAAGTAAATGGGAAATAGTGCAAATCATTGCATACTTTCTGGCTTTACTTCTTGGCCTGTGCTAAACGAGTTGCTTTAATAAAACTGTATATTTTCTGTGCATTATCCTCTTCTGTATTGTTCTATCTTTCCTGTGTTGTAAACTTCCTAGTTTTCCTCACTCCTCTACCGCGGTCTCCATCGCACTCACTCGTATTGGTAATTGTAATTGAAATTTGGCGTTGAAGCGAGTAAATGCCCTCTCTCTATGCTCACTCTTTTTGCACAGCCACCCCCTCCCACCCATAGGGCAGAGCAAAACTCAGCGCTCCTGCATTTTTATTACAGTTGCCGCTTCATTTTGGGCAAAAGCTGTGTTGTTTTGGCATTCTCCTCGTTTCGCTCTTCCTGTTTGTTGGTGTGGGTCATGGCTGCCTCTGTTGTGGTTGTTGCTATTATTCTTTCTGCCGCGTCATGCTACGGTTCTTCTTTACTTCACTTAGCTTGACTCCGTTCTTTCCCTTGCTCTTTGTGCCTCTGTTAGTGGCTGTTCTTTTTTGTGTTTTTGGGTACATTGACTGCTCCTTTTTATGGCCGAGTCTGGGTCTTGGTCTGGCTCTGTTCTCTTTTATTTTATTTCCCTTTTTCCCTTGCCTAAGCCAAAGTCACTTGCCTTGTTTTGACTGCCTCCGCCTGTCCTGGCCACTTCTTTGTTGGTAGCTGAGCGGCGAGATTGTGCAATATTATTATTTATTTGTCGCCCCGTCCACCAAGCAATTAAATCATCTGGCAGATGACGCGGAAGAGAGTCTTGTGCTTATGCTCTCGCATTTATATTTTGGGGATTACGGGAGTGCACTAAGGGCTTAAGGCAATTTCGCGATTAAATGTAAAGCTTTTCTGGGGCATCGTAAGAAAGGCAGTTCTATAAAACGAATAAATTAGAAACCGACCTTTAAATATTAATTTCTTTTCTATTAATTTCATTATTTAAAGACTTTAAAAATCTCTAAAGATTTTAAAAATAATGAATTTAGTTTCCCAGAAATTTCTTTGTCCTACTTAGTAAAAAATATCTCAATAAATATTTAAAAATCATATAAATAAATTAAATATGACCACAAAGAAACATAATTTCCATAGGTCAGAATCTCTTAAGGTAATAAAGATCATAATCTTATGACTAAACCAAATAGATTCAAAGAGTAGTAGCACATTAAATTAGCTTCTAAGCGATATATCCCTTTAGCAAATAAAGTCCATTATCTAAATCAATGTATATTGATTGATCGTACCAATGCCTGTACCTGAATTTGAACCCGAACCTGGAACCTGTCAACCTGTTCCCAGATTTTTTTCTTTTTGCCCAGTTCCTTGGGATTTGGAAAAAAGAGTATCTTCGGTGGCGATTTATATCTGCACAGTCCGTATCTCTTATTGGCTGCTGTTTATTTGCTCGCCGCGTTC